AGTTGTGTGTTTTCCTCCGTCAGTAGATTCTTGTTACCACGGTTATCCCGCCCTCATAATGCTGCGATCAACAGCTTTGTTTAATAAGTAAGGGATAATGTATAGCCTACAGGTCATTATCGGAAAATAAGTACCGACAGGGCGAAGCGGACCCCGACGCGCAGCGGAGGGGTCTGCTTCCGCCCTGAAGGTACTTATTTTCCAATAATGACCTGTAGGCTATACATTATCCCGCTTATTATACTGCTTTGTACCAACTTAACACACAAAATAAACTTCAGATCACTTTTATGAATGCCAAAAGTTTATTTAATGACAACAAATAAAGTAGTCCCAAAAAGTTTTCCCGTTGCTCGGCAACCGCGGGCAACAGTTAGGCTGGCAACTTCCAAACTAGAACTCTCTGGAACTGCATGAAAACTAACAAAGAATTCTGAACATCAGCGGTGAGTGACCCATACATAAACCTAACCTAAATCCATAATTCGATCCTCTGCAAATGTGTCCGAAAATGTGCCGGTATCTACTTCCGGGTTTTTCGGGATCGCCTTTTCTCGCATTACATCAGTGTTTTTGTCATGAAAACGTAAACGGAAAATTCTGAAAACTTCCGTGCACTTGTATTAAGACTGGATATGTATAAATTACTCTCCGATTAACATTTCATTGCGTTGATTGATTGGCATTTGCGTTTATTGAGCGGCCAGAACTACTTCCGGGTTTTTCACGATCGCTTTTTGACGCAGAGAGAAATAGTATTTTTGTCATGAAGACAAGACCAGAAAATTCTGAAAATTTCCGTGCACGTGTGTGAAGAATGTATATGTATAAGTATTCTCCGATTAACATTTAAGTGTGTTGATTGAGCGTGGCTAGCTCAGGAGTGGCCGGAACTACTTGCGGAGTTATCCACGCATTTGAAAGACAAGCAGAGAGTGCGTTGCCAAAGGGCAGCGGTCATTATTGTTTTGAGAGGTCCGTTATAGAAAATAATGACCGGTAGAACGCTTTGAAATTACATTCAAATCAATGGAGCATTCTACTGCTGCTGTGAGGAGCCGTATAATAAATGGATTTAATGTCTTCCCATTAAATCTTCAATGTCAGAGACTTTCACTTCTTCTCACTGTGGCTGTTTAAATGAGCCACTACAGTTGTTATTTTTGTTATTGTTAGCTGCAAATATTAAATATCCATTCATCTGCTGGTAGCAAGCTAACTAGCGCTTGCAACTCTATTCAATTTCTTACTTTTTCTTATAAACTTTAAAACCAGCCATATGTTAATTAAAATACATTTACCTTTGCTAATGCAGTCAATTATTGTGAAATCCATAGAGTATAATTTCATGATTGTTGCAATAACTAATGTTCTATGTGTATTCCTAATGTGTCATGTGTGTTTGAGTCTTACAGGTGTCAGACTGTGTTGAAGGTGTTCAAAGGTAAGAATCACACTCTCACACATTGATTGTTCTTCTGTATTATTATGTTGTTTTGAGAATAAACCATTATTTGGTGTATTCTCTTTGAAAACATCTATCTTTTTCTCAGATTGTTCAGCAACTCACTCAAGATGAGGGAAAAGAGCAACAAGGGGAAAATGCCCCCTCGGAAATGCAACATGTGTAGAGTAATACAGGGTAAGTAGCTTTCAGGGCTCATTTGTCCATCTGCAAAACAAATGCACATTTGCAATTGTTTTTACATGGAATTACTCCAATGACCAAAGCCTTATCCCAAGTTTCTCAGACGGAGTGTCTTCCAGTGTCTCGAGCTAGTGCAGTGCCAAGGTTTGTATCACATGGTGACGGATCGAGTGGTTTGAGGCATTAATAGAAAGTTATGTGTTGTTATATCACTTTGCCACATTATGTTGAAACTAAACATGTTCCACATTTTCAGGTGCTGTGCTTGGACCTTGTGATGAGAGACTGAAGACCAAGAGAGGACACATGTTGGAACATCAACATTCAATAAATGCATTCTTCTGCCTTTCAGATTGTGTTTTTACATCTGGGGAACCTAGAGTGTAGCTTGTGCCTGTTTTAATACTGATCCAAACATAGGCGCTACAATCATGTTTTTTTACTTTGGCATGAACTGTTCAGTACAGTAGTGTTCATAACACTGTGCCCTGTGTGCTTTAACTTGTACTTTTATGTAGAGAAGCATGATTTTTAATGCAGCTCCATTTGCAATAATGACTGATATCCTTCTACTACAGTTGTTCTAATGATTTTTGAATGCTGTGTTTATTGTTTATTGCCCAGAGTCAGAACTAAACATGATATAGCTGCATTTCAGATTCACAAGGCTAAAATCTGGAACGGTCTTCCTGGAAATGTGAGACAGGCTTCTTCTTTGACAATGTTAAAATCCAGGTTTAAAACACTTCTGTTTCTGCTTCAACTGAGAGATTTTATGAGAGATTTTATTTGTATCTTTTTAATTTACTGTCAATATTTATAATTGTAATGCCTTGTTTGATTGTTTCTATCTTTTGTTCAGTGCTTTGAGTTTCCTTTTGTTTTGACTGTGCTATACAAATAAACTTGCCTTGCCTATTGCAAAAAGTATGTCTCGACCAGTGAGTGATTCTGCAGAGGTTAAGTAGGTCAATAGGACTGTAAATGGACGTCATATAAACGTCAATATTTTGGTCATACAGTATAAGACGTCGAGAGGACGTCGGACCCGACCGGTTCTGTACCACATTGCAACCTTGAATGAAGTGGCCGCGACGTCATTTGAACGTCCAGATAACGTCCAGATGACGTTGAAATGACATAGTTTTGACATCTGCTTGCTTAGTGGGAACAACGGAAAACGAACGTCATATGAAGGCAATATTTTGGTCATATAAGACGATGATAGGACGTCGGACCCGACCGGTTCCGTAACACATTCAAACCTTGAATGAACGTCCAGATGACGTTGAAATGACATAGTTTTGACATCTGCTTGCTTAGTGGGAACGACTGAAAACGAACGTCATATAAACGTAAATATTTTGGTCATATAAGACGTTGATAGGACGTCAGACCCGACCGGTTCCGTACCACATTCAAACCTTGAATTTACGTGCCATCAACGTAACATTTGGAGGTTGAGGTGACGTCGGGAAACGACGTCGAGAAAACTTTCATTCTGCACCCACCAGTGACCTATATTCTACGTCGGACAACGACGTTCAAATTACGTTGATTCAACGTCGGCTTGCTTAGTGGGTTTGTGCACTCATTTATGAACTGGAAAAGTAATGATACATTGAACAGAATATTTCCTAGGCCCTTAGAAAGTTTTGGAAATTGGTTTTGAGATTTTGAATTGTTTTTTTTCATTTAATAAGAATATAAATTGGGATCTGTTTGCAGTCCACAATTTATACTGGCATTGAATAGCTAGGGAGAACCATGGATGTATTATATTAACTGGATAGGGTATTACTAGCTTGTAGCTGAATAACCCATGTGCTCAGGGGATTCTCGCGGTACTGCAGACTGAACCAGACTAAATTCACGTGGGCTACCCAGAAATTTTCCCCATAGGACTCAATGCATATTAAAACAGCTCAACCTCAGCTGACAGAGAACCTACAGCTTTAATAAAGATAGGATTTTGTGGGGATTTTAGTGTCCCTTGTCATCCTGAACTTTTTTTCTTAAATCCTTCGGTTTTGTTTAAATCCACACTTTAGTGCCACAAACTCTACTCCTCTGGCTCTCGCTCTAACTCCCGCTCTGATGAACTGCTCTGATTGGTCAGAGCGCGGCCGAGCCCCTCTGTGCACGTGCGTGAGACCTGGTGTGAGACCCACACACGCGTGTTTGACGCAACGCATTATGGGAGATTATCCACTGCGCAGAACCGGGAGGACCAGACGATGCCCAAATACAGGCGAGTTTCCCATAGATCTTTGCGAGTTTCAGGCAACTTCCGCTAATCTTTTCAGCCCCCATGCTGTCACAAAGCGCCACTGAGCACAACCATTCATTTGAATAGGGCGCCATCTTGAATCGCCGGGGCTTGGGGAGAACTCATATTACTGTATATAGAAGGACAATGCTTATCCACTAGCTCCTAGTCTGTGGTAGAAGTATGTCACTGCTGCTTACTGAATGTCGTCAAACTATACAACTATAATTTTGCTATATAATCATATGGTTAATAGTTAGGGTTTTCGAAGCGGTTTGCTGGTTTTGAACGTGCACAGGATACACCACCTCTCAAACAGGCGTTCAATCGCAGATGGTTTTTGGTGTTCTCTGGTATACACATTCGTAAATCGGGCCATACGCAATGTTTTTGATAAATCACAGCATTTTGGCAGACTGCACTTTAATGTCACTTTAATGACCTGCATTAGGACTGTAAACTTGCACTGCTATGGTCACTTTTAATTTAATTTTACATAATTTATCTTGCACAAAGGAGACTATCTTTCTACTTTTTAACATGTTTGAACATTCCCAGTTTGCACTATTCCTTTCTTGTGCAGGAATGAGTAATTTATGCCAAATACAGATATGTACATTTCTCCATTGTGAGATGGTCTATCTGATCTTAGCTTCGCAAACCTCAAAATAGGTTTGGCTGCTCCTGGTCATTGCTTTATATCTTCTACAGTTTCTCGTCTAATCTGTCCCCATTTAGATTATTCCTGGTTATATGCTTTTAACATTCTGTTACCATGCCACTGTTGTTTTAATTTGATTAAAAAAGAGCGACTGAAATACAAAAAAAATCAATATGTTTTTATGCTGCACAAAAACACAACAGCAGGTTCCTCGAAGGGCCTCAGAAAATTGTCATATCTTTAAATCAGCGTAGTCAGAAACAGAAAAATGATAAGAGGGTATTTGTATATAATTTTCTTGTTGTCTGATTTGTTTGGTATGTTTTAACAATCCTGACTACAGGGATGTGATTGTTGAATATTTTACTCAAAGGTTGAATGTAGTGAAGTAATTTGAATGTAACATAGTAACGTGTGTGCAGTGGAGCAGTGTGAACATCCAGCCGTACAGAGAAGCCCTGTCCCGCGCCACAGAGGCGGCCAGCATCCTGACCATCTCCAGTGTGAACGTGAGCAACACAGGGGCCTACGTCTGCAACGTCACCAGCATGGAGACCACTGAGACACGGCTCAAGCATGTCACAGTGCACGGTACATACACACACGCACGCACACGCACACGCACACCTACTGTATGCTCACATAAACATATAGATAGAAAGATTCTTTGATCCCATAGGAGAAATTCAGGTGTCCAATAGCAGCAGAAACGCATCTATACAAACAAAATAGCTAACAATAGTAAACTACTGCAGTACTGGTGGTGTACTCGCTGTGTTCGGACCCTTTTCTCTGCTCTAGTCCAAAGTGAGATGTTGAATGCTTCATTAGCATTTTTCAAAAAGGTCAATCATTCAATCAATCAACGTTTATTTGTATAGCGCCTTTCCTACTCAAGGCAACACAAAGCACCTCACAACCCACATCATATCCAGCAAATTATAAACATTAAAATCTACATATATATAAAAAAACAAGAAATATTAGAAACAGAATTAAAACAAGTAATTAAAAACCTTAAAACATTCAAAACACACACAGGATTAAAATAACAAAGAGCCACAATGCACTAAAAAGAGTAAATATAAAATATACAATCCTTCAGCTGTATGCACAGCTAAACAGAACCATTTTTAACCTGGATTTGAAAACTTCCAGAGTAGATGCCAGCGTCACATCTTCAGGAAGATTGTTCCAGATTTTAGCTGCATAAATCTGGAACGCTGCATAAACGCTGTTTAGTTCTGACTCTTGGGACCAGCAAGAGGCTACCTCCTGTGCTCCTCAGAGTCCGGGCTGGTTCATTAGCCACCAACATGTCGCTTAAGTACTTTGGTGCGAGGCCATGGAGAGACTTGTAAACAAGCAGAGCTGTTTTAAAGTCTATTCTCTGCGCCACAGGAAGCCAGTGCAGAGACCTGAGGACTGGACTAATGTGGTCGTACTTCCTGGTTCTAGTCAGGACTCGAGCTGCTGCATTTTGAATGTACTGCAGCTGTTTTACAGCCTGTTTGGACAGACCTGTGAGCAGGCCATTGCAGTAGTCTAACCCAGGGGTTCCCAAAGTTTTTAGCCCGCGACCCCCATCATAAATGCCCTGCTAACCCGCGACCCCCGCCCCCCTAACAGCCCTTCCGTCACATGAAATGAGCATGTATTTCCTTGATACGGAGTAACGCTTTCTAGAGACTCACGCCACTACCGAGCTGCACTGTCCAGCCCAAAAAAGGAGGCTTGCATATTTTTACTCATGTAGTGACACAGTGATGGGCTTGGTGGGCTCCCTCCTCAGCAGAAGTGGAGCGCATTTCTTGCGGCTCGCCCTCACTGTTCTCCTACCGCGGTAAAGTGGGCCGGCTTTCCGGAGTCAGCGGCAAAGAGGTCCGCACATTAAAAGCGGGCAGCCGCTTTCTGCTGTTACTTTATGCGGTTCGTCCCCGCGGCTTCTCTTTCCAAAGTTACTGTCAGTAAACGCATAAACCGGCCACCCGCTTTTAATGTGCGGACCTCTTTACCTTTGACTCCGAAAAGCCGGGCCTCTTTAAAGCGCTGTTCTACCGCTGTCCTCCCTCCCTCCGCTGCCCTCTCTCCCTCCTCTGCCCTCTCTTCGCACCATCAGCCTGACCCCTGATACAAGTGACTTTTCTCCCCCTCCGGGTTTTTCTGTTGTGGATATGTTTCCTTTTAAAGCAGGTATTATTTATTTGTAGCCTCCAAACACCTTTAGTTTTAGCAAACAACAGCAGGACACGCTTTGTCGCTGCGCATGATGTGAGCTGTGTTACGTGATGATTTTGATTGACGCTGCAATGACTGGGACAAAATTACTAACGTTATTAAAATATATTATAGTCTCCAAACACAATTTAACAAGTAGTCCTTTTGAATCAAATCAAATGCTTTTTTGTGTGTGTGTGGAAATCATCTTGCGACCCCCCCAGGGGTTCCCGCGACCCCCCGGGGGGTCGGGACCCCCACTTTGGGAACCACTGGTCTAACCTACTGGAGACAAAAGCGTGGATTAGAATCTCCAGATCTGCTTTAGACACTATGTTTCTAATTTTGGCAATGTTTTTCAGATGGTAAAAAGCTGCTGAAGTTACTGATTTGATGTGGCTGTTAAAATTTAAGTCTGAGTCCATAATTACCCCTAGGTTTCTGACCTTACCTAAAGGTTCCAGGGAACCTAAAGGTTCCAGGGATCCAGATCTATGTCTCCTGCAGTCAGTGAGACATAGATGTGAGTGTCATCAGCGTAATTGTGGTAGGATACATTAGTTCGTATTAACTGACCTAATGGCAGAATGTATATTGTGTATATTATGAAATCTTGAACAGAAGAGGCCCCAGGATTGACCCCTGTGGTACTCCACAGGTAAGGGCCATATCATTTGAGACACAGTTTCCTATCTCAACCAAGTACCCAAGTTAGCATTCCTCCAGTGGATTTTTGCCTGATTCGCTTGTTTTGGACCATGAATCCTCTACTCTCCGGTCTGGACCAGTGCAAAACCATCAACACTGTAGAGCAGCAACACCTCAGTTAGAAAAAAGCAATAACAATATAAATTGTAAAGCACAAAACAAATTGCTGCCGTTTCCAAAGTGTAGTAAAGCAATTTGAATGTGTGCATGCATACATACACACATGCATGCACACACACACATACATACAGTACACACGCACACTTACACACAGAAATATACACTAACACACTAACACATCATACACAAAACTTACACACACATACAAACACACACACCCACTCACATACACACATGCGTGCACACACAGAAAACTACACGCACACACACACACACACACACACGCCACATATTTACAGAGAGTGTTTTGTGTTGCTGGGTGTCACGGGTGCGCTGGTGTTACCATGGCTTCCCTATGTAACTTGGCTTATCTAATTTGACTGTCAGACCCTCGATAATGAGTTGAGAATACATACTGTCAAGTATTGAGCCACGTATGCTCGGCTCAAGTTAATTTTACATTGATTATATTTCATACATTGACTTCAACGTATTTGAGCAGGTTTTATTTTACTGCACTACAGTCAGAAAAGTGGTGATATCCTGTACAGGTGTTGAGTTCCATTCAAATGAGCTAATAAAGAAAGATCATATCACTTATGCGATGATAATGGGTTCACATGCCCACCCTTAATTAGGGCTGCACAATATTAGAAATTAGAGCAATATTCAATATAGTTATTTAGTATTTTGATACAATATTGTTGTAATATTTTTGTCTTTCACCTAAAAATGCAATTTGCAATTGAACACAATTGAACTGCAATTGAGTATGGCACACATTAACCTCAAATCTTGCCTAAGATTTCCAAGTCTATAATTTGGCAAACAAAAAATATTTCTTTTTTATCACCACTACACATTAATATTTGTATTTTCAAGGCAAAGTGGCAATCATTCTGAAACAATTTAGCTTTCTCCAAACACATCAACTTTCAGTTAATGTACCTGGCAAAATAGTCTTAAAGACTAAATATATTTCCGGTCAAACTCCTTTGCCAGGTCCAAAAAAACGTCTTTACACACAGTATTAACGGAGAATGTGCACTTCGCTACATATTGAGTAATGCTGCAGTTAAAGCTTTGTGTCGCTTCAAAGTTTTCTAATACGGAGCTACAGAAGCGAAACTGTCATTAATGCTCGGTTGCGCATTTGCCTTTGGTTTGACCGGAGTTGACTGTGGAGTTTTTGATTGTAAATACACAACATAAAGTACCTTGAGGTAGTGCTAAGCTGTCTATCAAGATCCAATCAGGAGCCTGTGGGTTGCTGCTTGCATTCCAAAAATGTCAATCTACTGTATGTTCACAATTTTGAAAATGTAACTTATCTTCACTTTAAACTAAATGTATTCAGTTCAGGTGCGTCCATATATTTGAAAACTGTCCTTTAGAAAGATTAATACTGTCTTTGTATTTGTATAGACAGTGAATACAATACTTTTCATTTATAAGGTTGAACAAACAGATTGAAAGCAATTGTCTCGTCTAAACAGCAGTGATTATTTTGCAGAAAAACCATTTATCATGTTGGGCTATAGAAATGGCTCTGATATTGAGGTAACTGCTGGCCGGAAGTCTGTAAACATTATTGCCAATGTTTCTGCGTTCCCCACCCCAGAAACAAAGTGGTAAGTTTTGCTGTCAGAGACTATTTTGAGCAATTTCACTTTTGATAGCAGTCAAGTTACTGATTTTTGCGTCTAGGTATAAACATGGAAAGCTGATAAACCTGCGTCCAGAGTTCAAGATGAAGAGGATAAGGATGCATCCGAGACACATGTTGGAGATCAGAGATGTGTGTCGTGAAGATGCTGGGGTTTACACTCTGGTGCTGAGGAACAGTGCAGCCGGACTGGAGCAAAGACTCAACATTACCCTCATTGTAAATGGTAAATTACTTTTGTTAAAGGTACACTAAGCAACCCGTGCATGAAGTGGCCCACAAGTCACAAGACTGAAGGAGGCCACAGGTTTGCCCCAAAAGCCTGTTAAAGAGTCTTGTATATAGATGGACAATGCTAACCTCCTTGACCAATCAGAGGCCTTCATCCAGCTTGCCTTAGCAACCATCAAAGCAACACGTCTGCCCCTGTTACGACTCACCTGATCGGAAAAAATGCCCATATATGGCAGCACAGGTTTCCATGACAGCATGCCCCCCCGGCCCCCCAAACTTTCTAAACCAGGAAATACCAAAGTAAATTGTTTCAATATTGCATGTTTAAGGGCCAAAATAGGACATATTTTGTGTTTAATCTATTAAATCTGACAGCATTATCAGTTGACAAAAGGCAGATTTGGGAGAGTAATGTTCAAACTGTCAAATAAGCTCTCTTTTGGATATTTAAAAATGCAGTCCAAGATGAGATGAGATAACATTTTATTCCACAACAAAGCAACAACAAAGCACAAACATAGTAACAGTCATAAACACACTTTTTGCATTCTTATTCCCTGCTCCACCTGAAAGAGGGACAATATTTCTTGATTTTCTCCTTGAAATCCGGTCCTCAGGTCTCTGCACTGGCTTCCTGTGGCTCAGAGAATTGATTTTAAAGCAGCTCTGCTTGTGTACAAGTCTCTACATGGTCTTGCACCGAAGTACATTGGTGACATGTTGGTGCCGTATGAGCCAACTCGGACTCTGAGGAGCACAGGGACTGGACTCCTGATGGTGCCCAGAGTCCGGACTAGGCATGGAGAGGCTGCATTTCAGGTGTATGCCCCAAAAATCTGGAACAGCCTTCCTGAGGATGTACGGGAGGCCTCATCTTTAGCATTATTTAAGTCTAAGCTGAAAACCGTTCTTTTTAGCTGTGTATATGACTGACTTTTATATATTGAGCTTTTTATACCGTTTTTAATTCTGAAATTCAGTTTGAAATGTTTATTTTTATGCAACAATTATTATTGTTTTTGTTATTATTTTATATTACGTTTTATGTGTTTTAAAATGTTTGTAAATGTGTATGATCTTGTGTTCTTGTGAAGCACTTTGGGCTGCACTGCATGAATTGTGCTTTATAAATAAACTTGATTGATTGATGATTGATTGAAATGAAACCACTATTGTTTCCTCTTCCAGTTGTCCCTCAGATCCATGAGAAGGAGGTGGCAGAGGCATCCAGCCCATACCCCCGCGGCAGTAGCCACATGCTCACTTGCACGGCCTTTGGGATCCCGGCCCCAGCCGTGAGCTGGCAGTGGAGGCACTGGGGCTCCTGTGTCCTGAACAGCTCCAGCACAATGTAAGGACACTCTCATTTGCCCTTTCTCACTGCAGTATCCTCTCCAAAGGCAGAAGGGGAGGGCATTTTAAGAATTTCAGGGTTTCAAAATGTCTTCATGCGTGTTGCATTTAAGTGCTAATATTTACCAAATAAATGAGTTAAACAAGGGCAGCTGCAACTCTGTACAAACAAGCAACCAATCAGGATGTAACACTAAGGCCTTGAAGGATCATCTCCGATTACTTTATTTGAGAAGGAAATTTGTGCATTAAAATGATACCTACACATGATTTAACACCAACCTGATTAATGAATGTTTTAAACTAGCGTATTTGTTTCTTTTAGTCACACAACTATACCTGCAATGTAGCCCAGTGGTTGAGTTGTTAGCACTCCCACCAGAAGGTCTTGAGTTCAATTCCCAGGCGACACAAGGCCTTTCTGTGTGGAGTTTTTATGTTACCCGTGTGTCTGCTGATGAGCAAGAGGCTCCTTCCCATGGGGCCAGGACTCCCCATAAAAAATTTCTTACATCTCAGTGGGACTATCCTGGTAAGATAAAGGTCAATTTGCCAGGACATGTTTCTAGCGCCATCAAACTGAAGACAAGATGAACGTAACCCAAGAGCGATGCATAACGTTTGTTTATATTTGTGAGGAAGAAAGCATGACTTGCAGGGCTGCCTCAGGTCACTGCATTCGTTTCCTTTATTACTGTACAGCTTCTTAATCTCATTTACTGTGAAGTTTCCTCTGCTGTGAAAGGGGAATTGTGAAAACCCTGCAGTTGGTCGTTCTACAGTCTATTAGAGCTGACCCCCAGACACCAGATTTTGCCCTCCTTTACATTTATGAACGTGGAGGCGGAGTTTAATCTTTGTCTGTGCACTTATATTTGAATGAGTCATTAGAGGCCTCAGCTTCACAAAGAGTCCAGCCACTGGTCTGAACTCCTAAACACATTCCATTTGAAAGTTTAGGGTTTTACAATTCTCCCGTATTGACATTTTAGAGAAAATAGGAAAGATGGGTAAGAGAATGTAGCTGAGTCAATGAATCTTTTTTTTTAAATATTTCCAAAAATCTGCACTGTTTTAATAATAATTCATTCCGTAACTGTTTTCTACACAGACATGGCTAAATCTTGTGAAATGGGATTTTAAGACTCAGAGTTATCACTGTGTAAATGTCTTGATTTGGTAGAAAAAAAGCTTCACTCCAGCTTTATCTTATCTCAAATGTACACAAAATATCATACCGACATTCTAGACAACTAATCGATTAAATAACAAATATTTATATTAATCAAATGAATGAATGAATAGTTTATTTCAAGCATGAGCATGACACAATAACAATACTTAAATTCCTAACCGTTATAGTAAACAATATATGTTAACACAGATTACATTATTATGTTTTTTCTTTGCAATGAAGTTATGCTCTTTGCTTGAATTAATTATCAAAATAATCCTTAGTTGCTGCCCTGGTTTGTAGTAGGTCTGGGCAATAAATAAAATCCTCTTATAATTCATACTTCATTCATTCATAATTCATAAATTCATCAGCTTTTTTGTATGTTCATCTGAAAAATTAGAAAAATAAGGGCAAGATAAAAAGAGCCGGGTAATGTACGTGTTACAGCATGGATCAGGGTGTTCCCAGAAAAAAAGACACAGCTCTGATTTTATTTGTGACTATTTTTGATTTAGCTTGAGAAGGAAACCAAAAATGGAACTTGAAAATTGAGTAAAAAACAGAAATCACTCAATTGTTACAAGCTTATTTCATTAAACAGTGGTCTTTGATGATAACACTGAGCCTATTTCACAGGTGAACGTTCACAATAATAATGCATGGGTTTTATATACAGTATAGCGCTTTGTTGTTTTAGTAATAGTAACAAATCAAGAAGGAAGTTCAATAGAGTGGTGTGTTTCCTCCCTGCCTCGCTCTTGCAATCGCCAATTTCCCAATGATTACGTGTCACTCCGCACTAACGTAGCAGTGTTCTCTTGTGCTTCAGTTCCTCGATCAGCTTTGAAGCAGCATTAGTTTCTCATTTCTCATAGTAGAAAGCAGGGAGAGACAGAACAGAATTGATGAGGTCAGTATGTGAAAGCAGCTCGAGTGGATAAGAGCAGCTGAAGATTACCAGGTTCAATTATAGAGAAAAGCAGAGCAGAGATACAGTTTGCAACAGTGGGTGAGAAATCGTCCCTTCTGGGCTATATCCATGTCCCTTCAATTAGCACCTGTTGCAGCTCGCCCTGTTCTGTCTCGTTCCCTTATCGCTCTCTCATTTCACTTTATTGCTCCATACACACACCAGCAAACTCCTTACTCTGCGATAGACCACGCAGCACCGCATATATTCTCAAAACACCAGGGATCGGAGCAGAATTTCCACCATACATTAACTTATTATTTTGCGTTATTTGCACGCAGGCTATTGCTGGCAAGATTTCCCGTTTTCTCATCATCGTGCTCTTCCATGACCCCCTGGACAGCGGCACAAAAGAATAATGAAGTTCTTTTTCAATGTTCTGTGTCTTTGAGATTGTTTTCATTCAATTTCTACCTCCGCCTCATTTTTCCTCAAGGCTTAATCTCGGAAGTTTTTACCGTTGACCTTTGAAGAGAGCACAGAAAATGAATGCACGGCGCTCTTTTAGAAAGGCCGTCAAGGCTGCTGTTATGTTATATTTGAGAGGAAGAGTGCTGAGGCCAAGTGTACGTCGCCCGAGCTCGAGGCCGGGCTGGTCGTATCACAGCCGACCCCTCTCACCCTGCACATGGACATGGACTATTCCAACCACTCCCCTCAGGCAGGAGGCTGCGGTCCATCAGGACTAGAACCTCCCGCCACAAGAACAGTTTCTTCCCCTCTGCTGTTGGACTCTTGAACACTTCTTAACCTGTCCCCCCGCCCTTTATAAAGTCACTTTACTGCCCATCATACGTCACTTTACTTCACTGTACTGCTGTCACCTTACATTGTGTGCACCATGTGCACTTGTATATTGTAAATAGTAACTGTAACTCTATTTTAAATTTAAATTTATTCTTTAGAAGTGTTTTTTATTCTTATTTTTATTATCTCTTTTTGACTGTTGCACTGAGCCAAAGCAATTTCCAAGTCTGTGACCTCCCGTTACTTACGTTGGCAATAAAAATGATTCTGATTCTGATTCTACAGTGTATTGTATTTGTGGACTTGTGTGCAACAAAAGCAGCTACTTCAGCGTCTTATCTCTTCAGGGGCTCCATATCTGCCTTTTAAAGGGGCGGTGTGTCATATTTTACTTTTTAATTACATCTACATCGTTTATATATGTGTCCCCAATCCCCAACAGGTCACATGCACAAGTCTTTTTTATATTTTCTGAGTGGAGTTATTCTTAATTAAAAAAATTAATGGACATATTTAGGTTTACAATTTTCTAGCAGATTATCCAATCAGAGAGCAGCTGTCTCTTGGGCTGGTTTTAGATTTATTTTTTTCTTTGTCAAACCTAATAACAGTACCACAACTTTTTTGTACCTGAAAAAAGTGAAATATTTAATACAGTTATCATTTTATGAATATATCTTGAAATAAGCTCCCAGCTGATGAGATGAAAAGAACAGAGCCTTCTGTTTCAAAGGTGTGAGCAAATATCAATCAACATCTGTACTTTCTTCCGATGTATTAGATATTAAGCAATGTACTAACTTCTACTGGCGCTACCTGCAGATGAAAGCCAGATACTGTCAGACCTCTGAAGCTAAGCAGGGCAGGGCCTGGTTAGTACTGGTTAGTTAGGCCTCTGGGAACACCAGGTGCCACAGTGGGGCAGCTACAGCTCTGTCTTTAGACAAGATGCTCTATCAACATTGTCTAGAATGAGGCGGTCAAAGGGGCTCAACGCCTTGCTTCTGTCAGTGTGCCAAGGGCAGCTGTGGCTACAAAGTAGTTTATCACCACTGTGTTTGGTATGAATGGATGCCATGAGAAGCATCTTTGAGTGTCAAAAAAACCAAAAAAACCTGATGAATTATTATTTTTCCTACTGTGTTTAGTTTAATGCCATTCTCCCACCTTGCCCAGGGACTGCAGTTGAAAGCTAACTTTGAAGCTAAAACTGGCACTTTGAGAGAAATGCTCATTAATTTGCATAATGTTGAAAGAGCCATAATGTTTTTCTGACCTTTAGAGCATATATTGACTTTGAATAGTCTGCTGGTTTAGGAATCTGGCATTAAAATATAGATTGAAGATTCATGATACTGTCAGGTTTTGTCATGTGAAACTGGCTCTGAACATTATCATTAGTCTGAGAGAGGTACAGGACTCCCATGTGTACATGTTATAGGTTTAAAGGCCCTTTGTACCACAGTTGAAACATGATTTGCCCTACCACTAATAACATGTACAATAGTTCATGGTGAATGAGTGTTTAAAGTATAATGCTTTCCAAGAGGATTGTCTTGTGTAGAAATTATGGAGTAAAAAATGTTTACCATCTCAGCCACGAGACTACGTTTCTATTATAACCATAGCCCAGCAGTTTTGACAAATGCCTGTAATATTCTACTGAAGCACACTGAAGCACACGCGGCACGGTGGCTGAGTGGATAGCACTCTCGCCTCTCAGCAAGAAGGTCCTGGGTTCGAATCCCGGTCGGACCAGGGCCTTTCTGAGTGGAGTTTGCATGTTCTCCCCGTGTCTGCGTAGGTTTCCTCCGGGTACTCCGGTTTCCCCTACCACTAAAAATATGTCCAATAGTTCTGGCATGCGCCTCCTGTACTGGCGACCCCGCTCCCATCTCTGTGTGGAGTGAGAGACAAATGCCCAAAATTAACAATTGTAAACCGCTTTGAGACTCAGATCTGCAGTGAAAAGGCGGTATATAAATAAAAACTTACTTACTTACTTACTTACTGAGCGGCACAGTGGAACTCTAGCTTCCCAACAAGAAGGTCCTGGGTTTGAATCCCGGTAAGAACAGGCCTTTTCTGTTCATGTTCTCCTCATGTCTGCGTATGTTACTTGGGAATCCGCTGGTTTTCGCTACTTCTTAAAACATGTACACTAAAATAAGATAAGATAAACTTTTTTGTCCCAAGGGCGACAAAAAAAGTTTATCTTATCGATGGGCGATGTCGGCTCTTCCTATCATTGTGAAGCAGAATTCTCCAAGCGTTGGATTGTTCACCCACTAATAGGGAACATGAGCTGGGTTTAGACCGTCGTGAGACAGGTTAGTTTTACCCTACTGATGATGTGTTGTTGCAATTGTAATTCTGCTTATTGCTGTGGGATAAAGTGCTACACAGATCTGCATGAATGAATAAAATAAAAATAAAATGGAATACTACAAGAAAAAAACAGACAGTGCAGTATTGCTTTAAAGTCTCTGTTTGGTCCAGTTCTAACAATAACAATGCATCGGTTTTATATGCATCAAAAGAGGTAATAGGCCGTGGATAAAAAAACTGAAATAATTATGTTATTTAAAAGTGCCACTGAAGTTGGGACAAAGTAGATAGATAAAATCCTCCATCTCTGGCAGTCCTGACCAAGCGGAGCATCAACATCTGGAGCTGGGTCCTGGTTGCTCTGCTCTGGCGCCCACTGCTCCTGGCCGAGGCTCCAGAGGCAATGAAGGATGGGTCAGATGCAGAGAACTAATTTCCCTTCAGAGATATTAAAGTGTATCTACCTTATATTATCAATGATTAAAATGCCCCCCTGAGAGTTTGACATAAAAGACATTGGCACATACTGTTTTCATAATCCATATTTATTAGTACCATGCTGTGTGCTTTGAGTATGTTTTTTTTTCTTTTTTCAGAATCAGATGTCAAACCTTCTGCTAATGCAAGGTTCCATTAGCAGCAGGTTGGTTTTGAGTTGTCACAAACCAAAAATAAAGGAAAAACCTATTTCATGTTCCATTAGTTCTGCTGTGATGTTATCTTTTCATAATAGGAATTCTTTTTGGTTATTTTCACTAGACCCTGCATTCTTAGGTCTTCCCATAATAGTGTTGGATGAGAGTTGCTCTAATACGTATCTATGAAATACAAGAAGAAGAAGATGAGTTGTAATTTGACATGCCTTTGGAACGCCGCCATGGTTTGTCGTGTGCCGTGCATGTCAATGGGAGCCCCACATGTCATGGCTGTGTCTGTGTTTCTCCAGGGGCCAGGCAGACTGTCAGAACTGGCTGGACGTTAAGCCCGAAAGCACTGGGAACCACATAGAGGCCATCGGAACATCCACGGAAATTGTTGATGGCAGACAGAAGGTTATTTTTATCCATGTTCTGTTCATCCAATATGTTTTGTATGAAAGTAATCTGCTGCATCGCCTCTAAGTTTAGTTACAGATTGCTATTTTTGCGGAAAAAGATTGTTGGAAAAAATATGAAAAAATGGGGTGAAACATCAATATTGATAGATAAATGTATAGCACTATTTTGCTCACCCCTGCTTCCAATCCAAAAAAAATATCCAAAAATTACATTTGCAAAAAGGTGGGCTCTATGTAAGAATTATCATTAGCACGCACACTGCAAAAAGTGCTAAAATATGTGGTAATTAATTGCTCAAATTGTGTTTTTAAATGTGTGTTTTTTTTATCTTAATTAGTTCATTCTGACTTGCCCAAAACTTGCCAATGGTAATACAAGATAATGTGGCGTTTCCCTTCGGCAAATCTTGTTTTAAGGCAGTCCAAATGTGGTCAAATTAAGATACATTTTTACAAATTGGAGCAATTTTACACTTATGTTTCATCAGTTTTCGCATATTATGATATATAATTTAATACAAAAACCATTACACATGATTGATCCACAATATTTCTACAACAATTTTGTCTCCTGTTTGTATGTAATAATCCAATATGTTACTGTAGGCACAATACCATTGTCAATCACAATTATATTTAGTTGAAATATTTAGAATTGCCTTCCTCTGCAGACTTCCTGTACAGCCTGCATATAAACACTTACGGGTATTGTACTTTTATTAAACTCAAAATTGAAAGGAAACACAATTGAACACATCCCTGTGTTTTTTCGTCTCATCTGAGTGGCTTTGCTTCTCGTTTGTCTGTCAAAACAAAAATCTGGGTCAACTCACTGTGGATTACAAGACAAGGAGATTTTTTCAAAGCCGTTTTACAATGTGTTTGATGATGTTGAAGTGGTTAAGGTAAATGCTCTCTCTCATAGATTGTCAGCAGACTTCATATTCAAAACGCAACCATGTCCGTCATGTACAAGTGCACCGCAGAGAATAAAGTGGGCAAGGACGAGCGACTCATCTACTTCTATGTGACCAGTGAGTACCAAGGACTCAAACTATTTAATCCCTGTCAGTTTCTGCTGATGTGGTTCACTTACAGCTGTTTTCTTCAAGGATTGCTGAGTGTCTTTTGCTCTTACTTTCTTCTACTTTAGTTTTATAATAGGGTTACAGCTGAGTTTCACAGTATCTGCATGGTCTTGACTGGTCCATTTTGTCAACCAACCAATCAATCAGTCAATCCATATGTTTATTTCCAAACCTGGACAACACAAATGTACAAAACTCTTAGGAACTTCAGATCCCTCCTCACACATTCAACACAGAGACAAGACCATTTGGAATAAAAACAATACAGGAGTAGAACAGTAACACAAAACAAAATCATATATGTTATAAGACAAGGCATCACACACACACGCGCACAGACACACACACACACACACACACACACACACGCACACACCGAAACAGGTCCAAACACTTTCTGACCCTACACCTCTCTCCCACTGCTCCCTCTGTGCTGAAGGCTTTTTCCTCCAGGTATGTCTTCAGTACTAATTTTTTAATCAGTAAAAAAACAAATACTATTGATTCTAAGGTAGTTTTAAATTCAGAATGCTGTTTGTCCCAGTCTTGTAATAGTAACATATTGGCCGATCAACATGTTACTGATCTAAGCTAACACGGCTGATTCTGAGTCTGAATTCTGATTCTGATTCTGATTCAAGATGAGACCCAAAATACATGCATGTGAAAACTAGTGATAGAATTGTTGAAAATTTGTTCAACGGTGGAATATGGAACTGTTTTGAGAGTGAGGAATTAGTTAGATGGATTTTATTACATAGCTCATTTTTGGTGGATTGAAAGTTGGTTAGCTCAGCTTTAATTCTCAATGGATGTACACAACATAGTATAGTTAGACAGTCATTAGACAGTATGATCATCCATCAAAGCATTATGGATACTTTACATACTTGTTCCATGCCCTATAGTCATAAAAATAACCAGAATTTGCATGAATGAAAACAACCACTTTGAAGTATATGCTCTCCTTAATTGTGTCCTCACTCCTCCGCAGCCGTCCCTGAAGGCTTCAGCATGAGCCTAGTGCCCTCTGAGAGTCCACAAGAGCAGGAGAGTGTATCCCTCTACTGCCGTGCCGACAACTACACCTATGAGCGACTGCAGTGGTACCGCCTGCGCCCCCCTGGCCTCCCGCAGGACCTGGACTGCCGGAGCGTGCACCTCTACGCCGACCCGCTCCATGGGCAGCTCTCCTTCAAGGCACAATCCAACAGCTGGGTCCTGGACCACACCATCGCCTCCATCCAGCTGCGGGACGAGGGTCACTATGTGTGCGAGGCTCACAGTCGGCGGAGCGGAGACAAGCAGTGTCTGTTTCGATACATCTCTGTAAAAGGTGACGCCTAAAAGAGCAACACGCTGAGAATAGCGAGACACTTATAAGCACTCCCTCGCAGAGCATCTATAGTCTTTGTGGTGCTATAAACAGGAGTAAAAATATACACACACAAACGCTCAAACGGGGCCTACGCAGAAGCATCTTGTTCACTCCTCTGCTTGGATTGCGTCAACATACCGTGACAGAAAACAGGACTACAGAATCGCTCAAGGCCTCAAATCCATAAACACATCGGGCCTCTTTCATGTTGCAAGCAGCTCTCTATACTCGTGCCTTGAGGACAAAGTAACATTTAATAGGATTTCATGACTCTTGACCTCACAATCTCAGTGGGTACAGGCCTCACTATTACAAACATAACCAGTAACTTTTCGAGTTTGTATTTGTCATTACCAAATTTGAATACATTGCTGTTTTCTTCTCGTGTGCAGCTCTAGAGGCGCCTCAGTACAAACACAGCCTCACCAACCAGACGGTGAACGTGACCGAGTCTCTGAAAATGCAGTGTGACGTGGAGGGCAGACCGTCGCCGCTCCTCTACTGGTTTAAAGACAATCAGCCTCTTCAGGAAATGTCAGGTGCGTACGGCCTCACAGAGCTGCCACCCACCAGCAGACACGCCCCCTAGAGCGCTGGGGAGAAGAGGGCTCGCCTTGATGGATGGAAATAGATCGGATCAGCGCTCTCACATCAGTGGGAACCAAAGTTTAGAGAGTTCTTTTAGCGTGGGTGGGTGCTGTTGTGTGCGTCGTACATACAGATTATGAGCGTGGCTTGATTCAGCTTCTCCCCACATGAATGGATGTTCAAACTGTCCATGCATCCAGATCTGACCTCAAAAACCAATTATTTGTGTAGAGGCCAAAAGTCACAGCAGTCATTTTGAAGGATTGTACAAGATACAACTTACAATCTAAATATTGTTATTTCTTTGTCAACCTAAAATGGTTAAAATATATCATATGGACTTTGATTCAATTACATTTATTTTGTATAGCCCTAAATAACAACAGTAGTTATCTCGGACTTAACAAAACTGTTGAATTCGCCAACACAGATCAGAGAATCAAACAGTTTAAACACAAAAAATGCAATGATAGGAAGAAAAAAAAAACCACATAGATCCATTGGTTCATTAGGGGCAGATGACCAATGTCCGTCAATGTTGGTAAATGAATATTACATGCAAAGTGACATATATCAGTCTGATGATTATGGCTCATAGTCTTTCTATGTTACTGTATATTTTGGGTTTTTACAATTTGTGAGTCAACATAACAAATTTATTGATGTGCGTAATGAGGAATATGTTACTTTCACATTGTAAATTGAATTACAGAAGTTTAAGCCAAAAAGATGTATTCCTCTCGCTACAATCTTCCACACAGTTTGTTTTTGGGAATACATTTGAAAGAAATTGCTCAAGAGGGGTTGAGACGTTAATTTTACATCATGAAAATAAATACGGCTTTTCAAAAAACAACTTGGTAAAGGGCAAATTGAAAGCCTTCCAAATATGTTTCTAATGGCACTTATTTGTTCATGCAAATTAACAATTCAAATGGATTTTGTAACAATATTCTAATTTTCAGAGTTTAACCTGCATTTCAGAAAATCATGCAATTAAAACAATCTTTAAATGCTTGATTATCTCATGACAATTAAACAAATGGACTCTTATCCCAGTGCACCCACTATCTTTATACAATCTGTCTTTGGAACGGAACACATACTAGTCATCTGCCTTTCTGCTCCGCTTTCAAATCAATACAGCAGAATTAAAGGGAATTAGCAGTAAGGTTTAATAGCAATGGCTGTCAGTGCAAAATATAAATGAAATACGCCATGCTCTATAAGTGTCTCCTCTTGTGGACGGCTGTAGATCTCTGCATTATATTTCCTCTGGTCCCTCCGACCTTTAAGCTGTCACTGCAGAGCTGCTGAGTGTGTGTGGTCCCTCCAAGTGTTTAATATGCATATACCCAAGTCTCGTGCACAGACATTTGAACAGTGAGAAAGACTGGGCTAGTTAAAATGATCGATCAAACAGGATTTTACGTTTTACAGTACTCTCAGGGTGTTCTATCTGCGGAGGTGAATTAACCCTTTAGGCATCACAGCAACAGTTTTCATTTGTATTAATTGTTAAAACAGCAGAAACACATGATAAACTCATGCACCGGTTTCCAAGGTAATAACAATTTGATAATAATAATGAAAATGAATTAAAGACAAAACAGAACACACACAAAAAGAAAGAAATCACATGAAACACACAACATTTTTATTGGAGGTTATGTGGACTGTTATAACCCGAGAATTTGACTTCAACTCAACTTCAAGACACTTTCTATACAGCGACCTGGGTTCATAGCCTCTTTTCTTTACATCTATTTTTGAGTCATGTACAGGTGAAACTCAGAAAACTGTTAAGTGTTTTTAAGTGTTTTTCTGTGAGGCAAAAGTAGTGGTATTGTTGCATGAGCTAGTATAGATACACCCTATACTGTAAGCTCTTGTGTGTAAGTTTTGTAAATAAAGAGAATTGAGCATTTTCTATACAGCGAACTGGCTTCACACAAACGTTTTCCAACATTTATCTTTATTTGTCTTGGATTTATTTCTGTCATAAATTTTAGTAGTCCTCTTTCTTTTATTATACAATTACAGAGCTACCTGTTTTATCTGTGTCACATCAAATCTCAGAGAAATATGGCGCGTGTTCTGTTCAGCATACAGACCAGCTTTTGTTCCTGCTGTCCAGTAACGTTTGGAAATGGCTGAATTTGGACTGGGGAATTCATCATTTTTCAAACCAAAAGCGGAGTAACACACAGCTGTGTCTCTACTTAACCTATTTAGCCTTGTAAAGTGTATTTAAAGAAGACATGCACGTGTAAACCAGTGATTTTCGTAAATTGTATACTTATTTGTACAAAATTCCAAAACCAAAAAATCTAAGTTTTGTTCCTCCTGTTCAGTAACGTTTGGAAATGGATGAATTTCAACTTGTAAATGTATCATTTTTGAAACTATTCGGTCCAAAAGCGCCGAAACACACTGAGTCTGAGTGTCGCCCACGCCAACTCACTGCTCAGCAAATGTGTGGACCAGCACCAGTGACATGGACACGAACAGGGCGATGTGACTGTGCGTGTGTATGTGTGCGTGTGCGTGTGTGTGTGCGCCTATGCAGCAAAACCCACAGACCACAGGACACGGCTCATTATCTCTGCATCTGTGGTGGTGTGGTTGTGACAGTCGGGTTAGAAGACCGAGTAGCAGCTGAAGGGGGGGCAAAAAGCATCAGAATAATAAATATGACCTTTCAATAAGTACTTCCTGAATTTTTTACATTTTCCATTTTTGTGAAGGCATCCAGCTGCAGGATTCAAACAGTACGTTGAGTATTCAGCGCGTGCGAGAGGAGGACGCCGGCGTGTACACCTGCATGGCCTGTAACCAGAGAGGCTGTGTCCACTCGTCAGCTGCTGTGCGAGTGGTTGGTGAGTAAACCTCCCAGATCTCCACAGACACACTGCACTCACACTACAGGTCCCTCCCACTCAGAACTACAAGGGCCACATCCAGCTTCCTCCCCTCCTCAATCCGCCTTTAAGCAAATTATGATCTTATTCATTTATTTTAAGTGTGTACAAAATAAGAAGACCGACTCAAAGCAATTATTAAGATGGGAAAGTGGATAGACCTGATTTGAGGAACTTGTTGTCTTATGCATTGGCCTTGTGCTCATGCCATCTACTGTAGTTTGGTGAAATGTTTTGTCAGATTCAACAAATTACAGAATCCCCAAATCACTCTGAGCTAAGTAACAGTATTATCTCTACTCTTCACTTCTTCAGCTTTGTAAAAACGTAAGTGTCTCAAATATAGTTTTGTCGTCAAATATACCTTTATATTTGTGCAACATTCAACTAAATAACCAATCAACCAATGAAATTTTGCAGGTCATGGTATAATTGATGAAATAAAGCCATGATAAAATGGAAAGAAAAAGCAGTACTTGCAATAGTTTCACTTGTGCATGAGGTTGTTTGATGCCTTCAAACTGCTGCAAACCCACTCCCCCCGCCTCACGTCCCAGTCTCCTGTTTCCTGTACAGTCAAATCAAAGCCATTGACTGCTGGCACATTATAGAGTCTGGGTGAATGTTTAATGGCTTGCTCTGGGCTTTTCATGATAAATGGCTCTTATGGTTTTTGCTCAGTAAGGACTTAATGGGGAGATGTACTCGGCTTGCACTTGGTGGTGTAAAAAAAACAAAAAAACAGGATGTGTCTCATAGGATTATCTTCATATGAGACACATATTTTAAGCCGCCACACACTGACACAATACTGGGAACTTTTGCCGCTTTTCCACAGTAACGGTAAGGTACGGTACGGCACGGCGCAGTTATTTTGCATTTCCACTAGGGTTGGGCTTGAGATAAGCGTACTTTTTTCGTACCACCTGGACTGTGGTTCCAGCCGAGCCGAAGCGCTACCATGACGTGACGTCAGCCGACTGCCTTACACTGATTGGCCAACGAGTGTCGTCACTGGAAGCGACGTCCGACCCTATGGTAAAAACAACTCAGCCGCCATCTTTAAAACCGGCTGCTCTGCTTCAATACGTCCTCCCATGGATCTATTATAATAATGTCCTCCTCACTCCAGAGAAATGGAATCGCACAGAAAGCCCCAAAAGTCAGCGTCCTGGTCGGTCAATGAGGCCCACACGTTACTCTCTTTAGGCCGAAGAAAGAATTCAAAGGCAGCTCGACGGAACACGGCACACGGAACAAGAAGGGAGATTGCCCAGCTTTTGATTTGTGACTTGTCTGAGGTAATCCTGGAAATAACTGATTAGCTAAGTTTCCCGTTGGTCCAAAGCTCTCACTGAAATATATTTACTCGTGTAAAAGTTTGATTGTCTGTTGTACACAGTGAGCTAGCTACATTTAGCTATCGATAGCAAGCTAAGCTAAACCGTCCTTCCTGTTCTACTGTGCTGTATTTTGCCCTTTCATGTCATGTGTATATTTAGTAGTTTGAGGAGCGAGGAAATTACCAACGAGCAATGCGTGACCACTCGTCCCCTGGTCTCAAGAGCCATACGTACTTTGAACTTTGTAAATTGTTGGTTTTGTACTTTACTTTTTTTTTTTTTTATAAATGTGTGATTGTATCAAGACTTTGTTTCATTCATTTGTCTGTACACGTGCACAAAAAGGGTTCCAAAGCAAAAAGTTACGATTTCCTCCAAATACTTTTACTTCTATTTACATTACATTATTATATTTGTCAGTAAATCCGTATAACCGTGGTAAATTTACTAACAAGGATGGAGACATTTGCAAATACAAAAAAGGTTTTATTTTATGTCAAAACAAGGGCAAAATAAATGTTTAGGCATATGACAAAGTGGCGCATCTGCACCACTGCTACACAGGCTGCTGTTGCTACATGTGTGTCCCATTCTGTCACAGGTCTCTCCATGATTTTTGCACAGACTGTGCAGAGCACAGCAGGTCAGCACCATTGACTTCACATGTGCAGTGTCCGAGTCATTCCTTTAAGACTGCCAAAAGCGTTTTCAGCAACCACTCGCGCTGTGCTGAATTTTCTATTACATACTTTCTGTTCGTCTGTCACTCACCCGGTGTCCTGAAAAGATTTTAGGGGCCAGTTCTGCAGGGGGTAAGCAGAGTCCCCTAGGAGGTAATAGCAGCTATCACCATAAATCCATGCACCACACCAATGTTACTGATTACACGTTGCGCGTAAATGGCGTGGTCTGACAACCTCTCCCATGCTGAAGAGGTAATATTCTTTATAGAAAAGCACCCACGCTCGGCCGTGCCGTGCTGTACCGCGACTATGGAAAAGCGGTATAAGATATCGTTTCAGTTAATTTTATGAGTGGGCCTTTATTTTGAAGTACTAAGAATGTTTACTGTATAGCCATATACCGTAGGTTCAAATGTCCTTTATTTTGTTTTTCTTAATTTTTCACAGACCATCATAAGCACAAGTGTGATATCATACAAAACTCAAAACAGAAATTATAGCCATTTCTTGCTCTCAGAGAAAGATCACAGAGGTGACATAGAGGTGACCTCTATGTCACCTCTGTGATCTTTCTCTGAGAGCCCGCCTCCCTGCCTGCGTGGTAGCTTCATGCTGTAAACACAGAACTCTTTAGCTTTCACCGGCTTTCACGAGTGGGGCGTCAGTAGCTCAGTTAGTAGAGCATTGGCCTTTGGGCCTGAAGGTCGTGGGTTCGAGCCCACCGTAAGACCTACTTCACGACTCCCACTGATGACTGCTGTCGTTGTGTCCTTGGGCAAGACACTTAACCCTACTTTTCCCAAAGCCCCAACTGAAAGATCTCGGCTCCTGTGGACTCACCACCTGCAGAGGGTCAGTGAGGGGCTGGTGCTATGTGTACTGGGTGCAGCTCTGACTGCCACCCTCCTGACCCAGAAATGGATTAATGGGGAAGAAAATGGATGGATGGCTGGACGGTACATATCATTGCAGACCTGAGAATAAACTTTTTCAAACAATGACAATCCGTCACACAGAACCCTATGTCCTCGATCTAGAATCGGACCCTAATTATACAGTTCACAGAAGTATACGGCGAGTTAGTTGGAGCTCTTCGTTAGTGTAATTTAATTTAATAATTTAAGTCCAGTTTCATGGTAAATAATTAATCTTTGGAGAAGTGTCCCGCGCAAACGCAGATTTGTTGCAGATTTCAAAGGCAGATTTCAAAGGCAGATCCTGTGAATAGAAAGTCTAGCAACACTTGCGCATTCTTTGTCTTTGCGTCAAATTCACATTTATATCCAAAAACGCATTTTTTCCAAGTTGACATGATGCCAACACTTTTTGTCGCTGTCAGAATCAGAAAAACAGCATAGAAGCGAGCACAGACTGTGGTTAGCGTGTCCATACACTGGCAAAGGCTGTGTGCGCTGATTCGAGCTACAGATACACTGCAAAAAGCTAAAAAATAGACTAGTGTAGATTACTTGATTTCAGTGTATTTATCTAACCACATCGTTTTTAGTTTTTTGAAGATGATAAAATTAAAACAATAAAGTGTACCAAATTTAAATCCCATAAATTCTTTGTACGGCCGTTAATAATAAATGTTTTTACTGCAACATCTGACATTGTCTTTCATTCCCATTAAGTTTCCACAACATATTGCAGAAGTCTACCCCATGTTTTCATCATACAAACACACAACACACTCCAGTGCTTTTCTCTGTCCTCCGAGTAACTAGTTTCATTTAGAAAGCTTACTTTGAACAAGACCATTGTTAACCAATCGATTTTGTATCCCTCTTTGCTTTTGTGTAAGAAGTCATATGCTGATTAACCATTTTACCAGATAATAACTTTGACTTTTTGTGGCTCTTATTCCAATCACAGGGTCAACAGACAAGGCCAATGTGGAAATTGTAATTCTGATCGGAACGGGGGTCATTGCCGTGTTCTTCTGGGCGTTGCTGATTCTCATCTTCTGCAATGTGAAGAGGGTGAGGCCTTTGAGTGTCCTTTTTGTGTGTGCGTGCACGCGTGTTGAATTGCGGCAATCTCACCCACAATTGGATTTTTACCCCAAACAGCATTAGAGTGAGAGCAAACCCGACTATTTGATCTTTAGCGTATAATTTATCACAGAGGGAGCAATCCTGACTTTGTGTGTGGAAGCCAATTAGAGGTCTGCTGCTGTTAGTTTTACAACATCCAAAACAAGTGACGATCAGAAGGGATTTTAAACATGTTCCTGGGAGTATTTCCGGTCCTTTGTTTACTCATTCTTATGCATCATATCCTCCTGGTAAACAATTAACTGTGAGAAAACACAACGGTTGCATACTAACACAATGTTGTATCATAGCCACAATATTGAGCATCGGTGCAGCTGGTATAGGTTATCGCAATGCTTTTGACTGAATGTAATGCCTTCAAAACACACTAAGAAGAAGCCTTGATCAACTTAAGTAGTTTTTAAGATCATAAACACAAGTTCACAGTGTCATCCAGCTAACTTCAGCTCAGTCAGGACAGGCATGTTGGACCTCGTGGATCTCAGGACATCTAGAATTCATCCGTTGTCTTTTTTTGTGCATACTCACATTGGTTGTTTTGATTGGGTCACAACATTGCGTGTATGGCGCTAATATGTAGCTGGTGAGATCATAAACATTTGTCATTCAGCCAACTTCAGCTCCGTTATAGCAAATTCCAGAAAGCCCTAATCGCACCCCTGCTCTATGTAAACTGACCAGTGTGGAGTGAAGAGGGGAGACAATCAGGTTAAGATTCAAATATCCGTCATTTTAGTGGGACTGAACCGGAACAGGGACCATGTAGGTCCACAAAAATAAAAATAAATAATGAATGTCAGTTACTTTCTGAACTGTGGAGAGAGAATTTGTTTTCAAAAGTTTTCACCACCTCTCGACGGAGTAAATTCAAATTCTTGATACACAGACGAGGCTCCGCGCCAATGGTCTGACTATTCTCCTCCGGCAAATCTGATTTTTGATGGTTAGGAGAGGGACTGTATTAAATATGGATTCTGGAAAAAAAAACGTTGAGCGAAGTGTGAACTTGTGAAACATTTGTAGCCAAAGCTAAATTGAAATGTCCATCCCCAGACCATATGACCCTCACAAAATAAGATTTCTTTTAAAATGAAATGCAATGGAAGTCGCAGACCTCATGTCACATAGCTTTTTCAATAGAGCCCTCATCACTCCACACTGGTACATCCTCAAGTGCGTAATGTTTTTTTATTAAAACGCTTTTTACAGACCAAGGTCAGATATATTTCCATTCTCTCCACACACGGTGAGGACAGAAGCAAGACGCCGAACACACTGGTGCATCAAAGCCTCCAACCGACACCATCCATTCACTCACTCATTACATTCAGACCTATTGTACATGTTTTTAGAGTTAGGGGAAACCGGAGCACACGGAGGAAACCTACACAGACACGGGGAGAACATACAAGCACAGAAAGGCCTTTAGGTGGAATCATACCCAGGCCCAAAGAAGCTATTGAGATCATTAACATAAGCTCATACTGTCATCAAGCCAGCTTCAGCCTTTCTGTGTGGAGTTTGCATGTTCTCCCTGTGTCTGCGTAGGTTTCCCCCAACCACAAAAATAATGTACAATAGTTCTGGCCGTATCGCAATCCCAAAGTCCATCCCTGTGTGTTGCAAGAGAGAACAATATATATATTTATATGTGTGCCCATATATCATTTACCTACTGTTGCATTCTGCATTTGCCAAATCAATGTATTCCCGGGAGTTTTCGCACCACCTAACTTGAACATTTCTGTAGGCCATATTTATTATTGAGGTTATTATTTCTACATACACACAAATATCTTTCATAAGCTGCTGGCTTCCCCTCTGCGACTCAGGTGAACCCGGCCGACATAAAGACCGGCTACCTGTCAATCATCATGGACCCCGGGGAGGTGCCACTCGACGAGCAGTGCGAATACCTGCCCTATGATTCATCACAGTGGGAGGTCTCCAGGGACCGGCTCCGACTCGGTAAGAGGCCCATAATGCACGGCTCCATGTGGTAATTGAATGAATGGGTGCCGGAACAGCGCAGTCCTTTAGCAGCGGAAGTCAGTGTTGTTTCTACAGCTATGAACAAAATGGAAAAAAAGATTGAAGGATGGTGAAATGGCAGCATTTGCGAGACTGACGAGAAAAGTGAAAAAACTTTATAATTGACTGGTCTCACACCCGTGGCTCGGGAGCTACCAATAGCTTGCCAGCTCCTTTCAGGTAGCTGAAAGGAGCTGAATTTAGAATTACCACATGATCCTGAAATAATACATTTTGAGTCGTACATTTTTTTCATAAGCATAAATAGAGGGTTACACAGTATTATAGTATATTTTACATGTGTTCTCCATGTGTGGTGTCAAAATTATTACATAGATTTCTTTATGACTTCAAAAAAGAGTAGCTTTCTGTCTTTTCTGTATAAAATTAGCTCTCCTATTGATAAAGCTTGGAGACGCCTGGACTACAATATGTCTCCAATTCTGCTTCAAGCCACGTTTATGATATTCATACATTCTTGAGTATTGTCATTTCTCTGTTTGTTTTCACCCTAGGAATGCCAATACTCCAATAAACAGTATGAGCAGTTCCAATCACAATTCAATAGATTTCATTTTAGTATCCGCCAATAGAAAATGAATGTAGGAAATAGCTTTTTTCTACACAGAATTGTTCAATCATCAGAAACACCCCTAGATCCATCCTGTCTCCGTCCTGTGATAGTATAAGGTCATTGAACCACTTGGAGATCACACTGGGAGCAGCCTTTTAAAATAAAAGTTCATCAGATTTGTTTTGGAGATTACTCAGGTGAAGTAACGTTGCAGACGGTATTTGTCAAATTAGAAAAAATAAGCTCCACTTTTGATGCACACATAAATTAGTGTTGTTTTTTTTTTTTTTTTCATTTTTTTGCGGGGCATTTGCAGGGCATTAGATAAGGGCCATACCTGCATGTGAAAGCCAGATTCCGTTAGACAGCAGGACAGGGCCTGGTTCGTACTGTGATGGGAGACCTCTGGGAACAGCAGGTGCCACAGTGGGGCGGCTGCGGCTGTAAAGTTACAAGCTCTCATTGTGTACTTAGGCAAGACCCTTCACCCACATTGCCAATAATGAATATGGTGTGTGTGTGAGTGGTTGGTGGTGGTCAGAGGCTTCTGTCCGTGTGCTCCAGGGCAGCTGTGGCTACAGTAGTAGTTTATCACCACTGTGTATCGAGTGAATGAATAATGACATGTGATTGACATATCTGTGAGTGTTCAAAAAAGTGCTATATAAAACAGATGCATTATTATTATTATTGATAAGGGGCAAAAGCAGTTATTTTTACATATCGAAACGTTCAGAAATATATTGTATCAAATTGAAAAATCGCCTGTATATAGATATGTATAGTATTGTGTCATGTGTATCGTATAGGCAGGCTTGGAAAGATACCCCGGTCTATCCATTATTCATCCATCCATCCATTTTCTTCACAGTGTCACCCCCCCAACCCATTTCTGGGTTGGGCGGGTGGCAATCAGAGCTGCACCCAGTACACATAGCACCAGCCCCTCACTGATCCTCCTGCAGGTGGTGAGTCCACAGGAGCTGAGATCTTTCAGTTGGGGCTTTGGGCAAAGTGGGGTTAAGTGTCTTGCCCAAGGACACAACGACAGCAGTCATCAGTGGGAGTCGTGAAGTAGGTCTCACAGTGGGCTCGAACCCACGACCTTCAGGCCCAAAGGCCAATGCTCTACCAACTGAGCTACTGTCGCCCTAAACTAGTATCCTGTCAGTATAGCCAGTATACTGTCTATCCATTATTATAAAATAAAATATTGCAGCAATATCAAAGTGTCCAAACGGTAGCTTTTCTCCATATTAGCTGCAACTAGGATTAAATAAGCAAGTATGTCAAAAATCAATGCCACAGCTCTTATTCCAATTCAATCTTTTCAACAACAGTGATGCATTAATCAAGATGGACAAACACCCAATGCTCCATCTGTCAGTTTGTATACATATTCATTATTTCTCTGCCACAGGGAAGGTTCTTGGCCATGGTGCATTTGGAAAAGTAATGGAAGCCTCAATCCACGGCATCAGCAAGAGCAACAGTTTGAAGACAGTGGCTGTGAAAATGCTGAAGGGTAAGTGTGGGGCTTCTACTGTCTCTGCAACTTGGATTTGGCTCATAAATAATCCCTAATTATGCATATGAAATAGCATGACCCGCTCTGCCTATAGCTAAAACATTTAAACATGGCCTGTTTATTTCAGACGGAGCTACAGCCAGCGAGCACAAAGCATTGATGTCGGAGCTGAAGATTCTTATTCACATTGGAAACCACCTGAATGTTGTGAACCTCATCGGAGCTTGTACAAAACCCAATGGTAATTTCATTTTCATTCCTTTTTTTAATGCATTCATACATTCATCATATTTTTGCACATGTAGTATACTGTGGTCCCTCATTGTTAGAGTGAGTCTTTTGTGTGTGTGAAAGGCTGGTGGTGGTTGGAGTGTGCCCAGGGCAGCTGTGGCTACAGTAGAAGTTTATCACCACTGTGTATGAAGTGAAAGAATAATGACATTTGAAGCGTCTTTGAGTGCCCAGAAAAGCGCAATATAAAACCGATGTATTATTATTATTATTATTTGACATGGTTTTTACCTTTCGCTTTCTCGCTTTTTCACAGATTTTGCATGCTTCTGTTTTCTCCAACAACATAATTTACATTTTATAACCGCTAGTATCACATGACAATCCCCTTTATTTACAGTTAGATGAAAATCCTTGTCTCTTGTGTGATCAGTTCAGAGTAAACAGCGGTCTTCCTGTAGCCCTCTAGTCTGCTCCTGCCCCTCAACGCGCGGTCTTCTGCAGCTGTACTTTATAGTGTTTGCACGGCTTTTGACAGCTGCAGCAGCACTCAGAAATACAACAAACAGATACCTCCACAATCACACTTCAGCAGTCGTACGGTGAGGGGTTTATAGCAGCCTTAAAACAACTGCCACCCATCCCACTGTACACACATACACATGCATAGGTACATACATACACAGTACACATACACATGCATAGATACATATACAGTACACATACACATGCATAGATACATATACAGTACACATACACATGCAGAGATACATACATACACAGTACACACACACATGCAGAGATACATATACAGTACACATACACATGCATAGATACATATACAGTACACATACACATGCAGAGATACATACATACACAGTACACACACACATGCAGAGATACATACATATACAGTACACATACACATGCATAGGTACATACATACACAGTACACATACACATGCATAGATACATATACAGTACACATACACATGCATAGGTACATACATACACAGTACACATACACATGCATAGATACATATACAGTACACACACACATGCATAGATACATACGTACACAGTACACATACACATGCATAGATACATATACAGTACACATACACATGCATAGATACATATACAGTACACACACACATGCATAGATGCATACATACACAGTACACATACACATGCATAGATACATATACAGTACACATACACATGCATAGATACATATACAGTACACATACACATGCAGAGATACATACATATACAGTACACATACACATGCATAGATACATATACAGTACACATACACATGCATAGGTACATACATACACAGTACACATACACATGCATAGATACATATACAGTACACACACACATGCATAGGTACATACATACACAGTACACATACACATGCATAGATACATATACAGTACACACACACATGCATAGATACATACGTACACAGTACACATACACATGCATAGATACATATACAGTACACATACACATGCATAGATACATATACAGTACACACACACATGCATAGATGCATACATATACAGTACACACACACATGCATAGATACATACATACACAGTACACATACACATGCATAGATACATATACAGTACACATACACATGCATAGATACATATACAGTACACATACACATGCAGAGATACATACATACACAGTACACACACACATGCAGAGATACATACATATACAGTACACATACACATGCATAGATACATATACAGTACACATACACATGCATAGGTACATACATACACAGTACACATACACATGCATAGATACATATACAGTACACATACACATGCATAGATACATATACAGTACACATACACATGCAGAGATACATACATACACAGTACACACACACATGCAGAGATACATACATATACAGTACACATACACATGCATAGATACATATACAGTACACACACACATGCATAGATACATACGTACACAGTACACATACACATGCATAGATACATATACAGTACACACACACATGCATAGATACATACATACACAGTACACATACACATGCAGAGATACATACGTACACAGTACACATACACATGCATAGATACATACACAGTACACATACACATGCATAGATACATATACAGTACACACACACATGCATAGGTACATACACAGTACACATACATATGCATAGATACATACATACACAGTACACACACACATGCATAGATACACACATACACAGTACACAAACACACATGCATAGATACGTACATACATAGTGCACACACACATGCATAGATACACACATACACAGTACACACACACACACACACACACACACACACACACACACACATGCATAGATACAATATATACATACATTTACAGGTACATACATATACATTGTTCAAAAGTGAAATTATTTATGTAATTCATCTTGAATGAATGAAACCAATGTATGATAGTGACTCAGCATATGCCAAGCCTTTGGTTGTTATAATTCGGATAATTACGGCTTACGGTCTTTTCTGAGATATTTTATTTGGGGTTATTAGAAGCAGTAAGCCATAATTATCACCATCATAACAAATAGAGACTTTATAATCTCACTTTGCGTGTAATGATAAATGAGTCAATTATTATTTTTAGTATTTAGAATTAGTTCATTTTAGAAAGAATCACAGAAATAAATGGACTTTTGAACAATATTCTAGCTTTGTGATTTTCACCTGTGCACCAGCAATAATTAAAGGAGCTATACCGTTTCTGCAAGGTTTGAATGTTTAGCACCGCCCCCCAACTCGCTCACGGGCTTCTCATTTCCCCTACGCTCTCATCCCACGGAGCCATCTAGTTTTATTTGCGATCTATAAGCAAACATTAGCATGAGCGCAACTTCTTGTAAGCTGTACAACAATCACTGATGAAATGGTACAAAACCAACGCACTGCTAACAAAATATATAACTGAAAGATTACCACTAGTTTTGCGTCCGAATGTAGTCCAAGCATAGATAGTCCGAGGCGGTCCCGCACCCGCAGGTCTCTCCCATAGACTGCATGTCACTCCAGAGGATACGATGTAAGCTAGCTATGTTCACCCGGGCTTTAGTTCCCTCTTCTTTTCCTCACTGTTGTGTTGTTTGGGCTGTTTTGCTGTGTCTGCAGTTACAGAAAGAAGAGTTATAGCCAATTCTGCTAACATGCTACTGTGTTTAGCAGCGCTGTAGAGGCTAGAGGACGCTGCCTCGCTCTGTGATTGGAGGAGAGTGGAGAAGTCTCTTCTCAGCACTTTTATACGGCCTGAATTCATGCACAAACTGAATCAATGAGCTCAGTTTTCAAATAAATTACGGATTATAATACAACTTGTATGTAGTAATAAGCATTTTGAACTCATTAAAAATAAATCTGGTATAGCTTCTTTAACAGTTGCACCATTTGTTGACATATTTACAAAAATATACATGACAACTTTATTTACAATTTAATCAGCTCAAAATGGAGTGGGAAGAAGAAAAACTATTGACCCCTTTGATTTAAGAATGAGAAAAAAAACTAATGAGAAAAAAAACTAAAATAACGAGTTTGAGTGTTTTTCAAGCTTTTCCGCTGTGTTTCATTCATTATTGGGGCTGCACTTAAGGGTCGTCATTACTGCTATCTTTTCATGATTAAATTAGGGTACACAGCTTGTTTTCCATTTACAACTACCCATAATTGCTTCTGCTGTTCAGATTTCTCAAGCTTAAGCATAATCTTTACTTCACATGCAACGGCTTCTTCGAACATCTTCCTTGACATTGTATGATTGCAAGTCTAGAGAAACACATTCTTGATTATTCATCCTCTCCTTTGTGTAATATGCTTTCTTTGTTCTCGCCATCTTCCACATATGTTCTGTGCCCCCATTCTATTAAATTGGTTCATGCAATGTGATCTTTGCCCGGTGGACGTTAGGAAAAAAATTGGATGAAAGCTTCCACGATGCTTTAGTGAATTTGTCAGGTACTACACAGGCGTCGCTGCAGTGCGCTGTGTACAATGAGCAAATATCAAGTAGTGATTCTTGATGTAAGTACATTTTACACTCGATTCTTGATGAATGAATGAACCTTTTTATTCATACATACTGTGCATACATTTTCACATTAAATTAATGTTTGAATTGGTAAAAATTAGGTCGTTCCTCGTTGATATTTTTCCTCGGACTGAAAAACTAACATTTCTGAGTTAGTTAATTATAATAATTAAATCATTATCATTATGATTAACAAGATTTGCAAATGGGACACGCAACTGTTTCCTTTTTCAAGAGTCAGAATTTGATTGTCTCATAAAAAAACTGTTTTTTTTGCTTCTCCCATTGATTAATCTTGTTTTTAAAGGTGATGTCAGCAACTTAAGTTGTATTTTTTTTGTGATGTATACCGATTTTTCTGACCATGGGATACTAGACTATAATGTACACTAAGTATTTCTCCATTACAGTTCCTCCCCTTGGGCTATCCTTGAATAAAATAAAACAAAATAACCACAACATGTAAGATTTGCTGGTGGAGAGCAACAGGCCCCAAGAATTTGAATTCATTTAGACCAATCAGGAAGCTTCGGGGTGTGCTGGGCGGGTCCAGTGCAATCTGTGTTTTTAGACTTCAAAGAAAGTCCCACAGTTTGATGGATATACATTTACACAACAAGGCATGCAGAGTTCCGTGGGTGACGTGTCTTGCTCAAGGACACAACAACAGCAGACATCAGTGGGAGTCGGTGGAGAAGGTCTCGCGGTGGGCTCAAAACCGCAACCTTCAGGCTCAAAGGCCAATGCTCTACCAACTGAGCCACTGTCGCCCCAAAACGTTTCATTCATTCATTCATTTGAAAAATAACTGACATCTACTTTAAGTCAGACAATACACTATTTCTAGCCGTTGTTGACATGCAGTTTATAGAAAATATTTGTGTTTGTGCTCAGGTCCACTCATGGTCATCGTGGAGTATTGCAAATATGGGAATCTGTCCAACTTCCTCCGAGCCAAGCGGGAGTTCTTCCTCCCTTACAGGGTACTACATCAAATTTGCACAACGGTGAGAGTCAATGTGAATTATCGTAATGCTCTTTGACATGTTTCATCGCAGGACCGCTCTCCCAAAACTCAGAACCAGGTCAGAAGAATGATTGAAGCAGGAAGACTGGAGCAAAGAGAGGAGCATCCGTCTCCAAACTCAACCGCCTCTGAGTGTCTGCCCAAAGAAAAAAGTACTATTTATCAGATAACCATAAATATATGTTTAGAAATATGTGTGTAGTTTATGTTCTCACTTTACTCCCGTCTAAATCTGCAGTGGAGGAGTTGTGGAAGACCCCTCTCACTATTGAAGACCTCATATGCTACAGTTTCCAGGTGGCTCGGGGAATGGAGTTCCTCGCCTCAAGAAAGGTTTGTTTAGAGCTTGAATTTAGATTTTTGTTAGTTATTTAGTTATATTTATTTCAAACCTGTAGAACACTTTCACATGTCTTTACACTAATACAGGTTTGAAAAGGGGTTGGATGAAGCAGACGCAGTTGCTACACATTGTTTTTTTTTTTTTTTACCATTTAACTTCTAATGATGTGTAAGGTTAATGTTTTAGAATAGATTAAATGTGGTTGCTTTATTGAAAAAATAGATAATGTATTCAGAAATATGTATGTATTGCTGCAAGTTAATAAAAATATTAATTGAAAATCATTAAAGGGCCACTAAAAATGGTCTTGCGGGCCGGATTTGGCCCATCGCCCTGAGTTTGACATGTCTGGCTTAGAACTTGAATATAGATTATTATTATATATTTTCAAATATTCATATTTTAAAAAGAGCAGTTTGAATCCCTGGTCCTAACATAAGAGAGAAATGTGTCAAAATGAGAAATATATGTATTTTACGAGGTGTTATTTTAATCTGGAGTACCTTATTTTTAAACCACAAAAAGGAATTATGCAACAATTCCTAAATCCCTTCGACAGTTTGACAAAGTTGTTGAATCTTCAACAACAGATCAGAGAATCAAACAGGTCGAACACATCAAGTACATCCAAGTGTCTCCATACGCAGCTTCACTGACAATCTGTGTTTTTAGACTTAAAGTTGTATATTGAAGTCTTACCTACCTTGCCATTTGCTGAGTATTTATTTTGTATTTATCTATTCTGTAATTTGATATGGACAGTGAACATTAATGAACATCTGTAAATATCATGTCAATTTGCCAGATTATAGCAAAGTTTAGCCATAGTTTACATCTGTTCCAAGGCAGGAGACATAAAAACACAGACCTTTACTGACATAGAACAAGACCGTTTCTCTCAAAACAGTCTGGTTCTCAAGAATTTTCACATGCATATATCATTCTTTATCACTTCTTTAGATCAGCTTTTACTGTGATTAAGCGAGCTCTCACTCAGCCAATCAGCTCTCAGTATGTACAATATTTTCTTATAAGATCTGAATCGTTTACAAAATCTCTCTAAAACAATACTATTTCTGTTGGGACACACAACACATAAACAACAACAGAAGTTTAGGATTCCAACTCTACAAAACCCAGTAAAAAACAGTGTAAACGTAGCAGTTAATGGAAAAATACATGAACAGTCTCAAGAGGAAAGCAGACATCTTGTTGAGGCTGTTTTCTTGTAGTGCATAAGGTTTCTGCAAAAATGACAGTGGATGATATCATGTTGGGAGAATCTTTTGAGAGTCGTTGATTGTGCTAATCAGCTTTCTTGTTCCGTACACTCGCAAGACACGGCCGCTGCGTACGTCAGGCCGGTGATGACACTGCGACGGGGAGAGCTGTGGCACAAGGCGACAAAATGAACAATCAGAGGAGTCTTTAAGTAGAACACTTTGTGCCGAAAACTGGGTGCACGTCTGAAAGAACGTTAACCTGACAGCAGCGGGAAGGATATCAGCTCTGCATTTCAGAACCAGCGGCACGGACCTCTGCAGCTTTACAGAGAGCAGAGACAAGTTTAGTCTTAACCCTTTAATGTTCGCTCGTTGGAGAAAGCAATGTCAATATTCATTTTTCATGATGTAGAAGCAGAACATTTCAGCGCAACACTCTGTATATCTCAGCTCTGGCAACACTGGTTCACTTCCTACAATGAGTGTTTAGACTTTCTGTTTATTTATTTATTTATTGTCTGTGTCTTACGGTGTCTTTGTTTTGACTTTTATATGGACTTTCTCTTTTTTTTGAGCCCCTAGTTTATCTATTTATTAGATTTGATTCAACTCCTTCAACTAATTCAGTAGCTCAGTTGGTAGAGCATTGGCCTTTGAGCCAGAGTGTCGTGGGTTCGAGCCCGACCTTCACCATCGACTCCCACTGTCTGCTGTCATTGTCTCCTTGGGCAAGACACTTAACCTCTGGGAACACCTGATTCCACAGTGGGGCGACACAACTGCAGTGCCAAACTGCAGTTGTGTCCTTGGGCAAGACACTTCACCCCCATTGCCTAGAATGAGTCTGGTGTGAATGGTTGGTGGTGGTCGGAGGGTCCGATGGCACACACTGGTTGCCTCGCTTCTGTCAGTGTGCCCCAGGGCGGTTGTGGCTACAGTAGTAGTTTATCACTACCGTGTAATGACATTTGAAGCGCCTTTGAGTGTCCAAAAAAGCGCTATATAAAACCGATGCATTATTATTAACTTTAAGAGATTAAGAGATCCTTTATTTGTCCCACAGTGGGGAAATTTCAGTGTTGCATCACAATTAATAGAACAGTAGGAAAGAGGAGCACACAGCACACGTTACCTGTTCATTACAATGTCAGAACAATGCAACAAAATGCAGTTTAGCATCTAACCAGTAGTGCAGTAGGACAAGTAAAGGCTAATATATACAACACAGATAAATATTTATGCATATATGTGAGACTGCACAAAGCTGCTATCGCTAGTATATACATTCATTATACTGTATTACATTACATGAAAGTGCATCTAGTGTGCTTTAAAACAGTGAGAATTCAGCAGTGTGATAAAAGAAAATATGTCCTTTTACCAAATGGTTGAGATGCAGTTTGATGAAAAGGTGATCCAACAAATGGTCGAGGAAATTGACAATAAATATAACTGACAACAAATATGTTCAGATATACAATGGTTCCTGAGCTGTTTGTGTCCTGTGCACCTGCAGTGTATCCACAGGGACTTGGCAGCACGCAACATTCTCCTGTCAGAGAGCAACATTGTGAAGATCTGTGACTTTGGTCTGGCCAGAGACATATACAAGGACCCGGACTATGTGAGGAAAGGCAACGTAAGTCCCCACCTTCTCATGTCGCACTTATAGGCCTATGTTTTACTGCGCTGGTCTCAAAAAAGAAATATAATGCATTATTTTGGTCCGTTCAAAATTAGAATGACACTCTTTACTTTTGTCATTTCATGTTTTTTTTTTATGCATGATATCTTAAAATAGGTTGAAGCTAGAATGAAAAGTAAACAAAAAATGTGCTGCATGTAACGCCTAACACAACCACCAGACGGAGAGGTTTTTTTCTTCATATTTTAGAATTACTGGCTGCAAACACAGTCATGTGATTGTAAAGAACATGTTTTCTTTTGAGAAATTGGCAATACAGTATTATATGGGCCAAAAAACTGATCTGATTGTGATGTCATAGAGGTACGATGACATCATACTATTGCAGGACTGAGACAAAAGCTTTGAGACTAAAAAGTGACGGAGTTAAATTTTGTGCCAGAAGTTCCTGATATTAGCGTGTATGTGTCTGTTTTTGCTGAGGTTGTAAAATGATTAAGGGCTCATAATGTTGATTATTTTTTCCTTTTCCGGTTTTTCCTTTAACTGAGATTGAAAATGTTTTACTCATGAGCTTTTGTTTTGTCAGGCTCGTCTGCCTTTAAAGTGGATGGCTCCAGAGAGCATCTTTGACAAAGTATACACCAGTCAGAGCGATGTGTGGTCCTTTGGAGTCCTCCTGTGGGAAATCTTTTCACTGGGTAAAACAATAATTGTCTTATTACATTTTTATAAAGACAGATGGAAAAACTGTGATGCAATTTTCTCTAAATGGTATATTGTGCAACACTGCCCTCAGGCCCCGAGAAAGAATTCAAGCCAAACTTTGGAAACGGGGTGCGTCCTGTTTTATTTGTTTCAATGATCCTTGTTCTCATGCAGGGGCCTCTCCGTACCCCGGGGTGCAGATTGATGAAGACTTCTGTAAGCGCTTAAAAGACGGCGTCAGGATGAGAGCGCCAGAGACGGCCTCCCCAGAAATGTAACCTCTATTCTATTATTGTCATTACTTCTGCCATATCAAAGGCTCTCCTCTTCTGCTATCAGTTTAGTTCTGCTGTAATCGCTGCAAATGGATTGATTTAAGAACCAAGTCTTCAATCTTAGACTTTATTGATCCACAAGGGAGACGGCTTTGACACAATAACTCTTACATATTATGTAATCAAAAGCGACATTGATGTTTACAAACGCTAAAGTGGAAAATAAATAAAAAATGTGTCAAATAGTTAGTCTAGAACGGGTCTTCTTCAGTAAAAATATCTGTCTATCAAATCTTATTGTCTCTCTTTTGGATTTATAAGTATTTACAATGACTTCTGTAGAGTTTAGTCCCATTTTAGAGCTACTTTAATCCTAAACCAGGCATGTTTAGTCACCGTTGTACCTCCAAAGGTCCTTCATGTGTGGTTTGAGAGCCATTATAATGTCTGTACTGTTGTAGCGTATTAGTGGCATACGTACATGATTAGTGGAGGCTTGTTTGTGTTTGACTGTGTCTATACTGCCTTCTGCTGGTAGCTACGGGATCATGCTGGCCTGCTGGCACGGGGAACCTAAAGAGAGACCACCGTTCCCCACTCTGGTTCAGATTTTGGGCGACCTACTTCAGGACAATGTAAGTTCTTTTCTGTGGAATTTGTAAGTATTTCTGCTGCTTTAACGCATGATGTTGATTTTAACTAAAATATATAAATGTATGTCTTCAGGATTCCAAAGACTTGAACCAGTCCCAGAGCTCAGAGGATGATGGTTTTTCACAGGCTTCGTCTCGGCCTCCGTCTGAAGAAGAGCTGAGACTCACGGCTCAGAATCTGGCCACGAGGTACCATGGCAACGCTTTTTATCAGTCAATCAACTTTTATTTGTAGAGTGCCTTTCCTACACAAGGCAACACAAAGCGCCCCACAACCCACATCACATCAGGAATAAATTATTAACAACAAAATCTACATTAACATGAAAAAATACGGTTTAAACATTCGATTAAAAACAAACTGCCCTTTTTAATATCATTTACAAAACAACCAACCAGGCCATTGAAATGAAATCTTGCTAATTCACAAATGAACTTTACTTTGGCAATTTGAGGAAACATTAAAACAATGACCTATACTGGTTCAAATAGAAATAATAATAACACAAGGTTGTGCGTACAGTCTGCTCTGTTATTGCAGTGGTACCATATGTAATTTTATTCAAGTAATTTTTGTATAGCCATAAATCAACAGAAGTCGTCTCGGGGGACTTTATAACACTGTCGATTCGCCAACACAGATCAGAGAATCAAACAGTTCGAACACAAGAACCCGTCGGTCCATATGACGCGGGATGACCATAGTCCATAAATCTATTTAAAGGTCCCTGATCATCACTGTCCCTAAAAACAAAAAACCCAGTAATATAAGGTTTCCTATGTTTATCCAGATTATTATTTTTCCACATTAAATTACTTAATTGTTTTACTGTGTTAATTGCTAAACCTATCCCTTGTAAAACATGAGTTACAATCAGCAGGTTTAATTTAATAGTATGCTGTGGAACAATAACTACAGAAACAACCAGATGGCGCACCATACAACAGGCTTCATATAAAGTTCAGGACAGACACTTAATAGAATGAATAGAAAGAGAATAACCTTACCTCCCCTTTCTGTGTGTTTGTGCAGGTATTATAACTTCATGCCCTTTGCTGGCTGTGTGCTTGTGGGAGCGACCAAACCAAACCATCCCAGGGTCAGGACATTTGAAGAGTCTCACAAAGGCCCTCATGTATGCTCTATCCATGCTATTTTTTCCACTGTGAAAATATCACTGACACTTTGAAAGTTTGATCTTTGGTTTTCTGCAGGACAACCAGACAGACAGCGGCATGGTCCTCTCCTCAGAGGAATTTGAAAGCATCGAGAACAGACAGAGGGGGGCGAAAAGGTACAGACAATGAATGTGAAAGTGTTCAAAGTGTATGGACCTGATGCCTCCGTGTGGGATCAGACTGTGACTTCTCTTCGACCTGCGCTGCCGTGATCTTTCAGAGATGCTATGATTCAGTTTCAACATGTTCTCATTTGCATAAGCCATTTTCTTCAGAGAGAATGTGTTCAAAATAACCTGTTAAAAGAAAGACCGTAGAAACTACAGTGAGCATTGTGTTTTAAATGTTTAATATCCTTTAGTTGACTATTTGTTCTTGTTGTCATCAGCCGCATGGGCAGCAGCAGCAGCACAGAGCCCCTCACTGGTCCCCATGGTTCCAGGGACTGGAGCAGTGGTCCCTTAAGACCTCGTCCAAACTTCTTCAGCCAAATGTCGGGTCAGACCTTCTACAACAACGAGTACGGCCATTTGTCTGAGGAGGGCTTCTGCGACTTCTTCTCTTCACCGGAGTCCCTGTGCCTCGCCTCCTCTAACGTGTGACAACTGAAAACCCTGGATGTAAAAAGACATATGGACAGTCCTGCTTTTACACATAACAGGAAATATGTCATTTAGTCATTGGATTTAAGATGCTCATCTCAAAACAAAAACTGTGTCCTGGTGCTGCCAGTTCAAAACAACTGGAGCTGCAAGTGCCTAATACTTCTCTAGCAAACCACTGGGTGGGCAGCATTACACCAAAATATATATTTTCTAATTTACCAATGTATTTTTATTCAATGCAGAGTATTCTTCATTATTTGTTTAAAAAACAGAATAAAACATGTATCCACTGCCTATAGTTCCTATCATTTTGAATTCATACACTCGCTCTTCGGATGGTGGAGGCAATAGGCGCCGATTAAATCCCTAAATAGACCAATCAGCAAAATTAAGGCTTTTAGTGGTGGTGTGTCACTCCGTGGAGGAGGACAAGCTGGTACCTGAGACTGTGACCGACGAGTCTGTGACGAAGGTAAACAGCGACGTGGGCCCTGAAGGAGTGAGTCACTCTCTTATCAGAGCTGGACGTAAGTGCTCTCCAACAGCTGATAGGACTAAGTCCAATGGGTAAACTAGACCTTGTGTGAGTCCGGTTCAAAGCCATCTATCTGATTATCACCTATGACCTGTGGAACAAACTTATCACAAAACAATACCCACGTGAAGGAGAATGGACAGAGCTTTATTTCATGTAATGATCATGATGCAGTAATCAGTTTCCAGAGAGACAAAATAAAGATATCTGTGTTGGACACAGACAAAAAAGGAGAGAGTTTACTCTTAATCTGAACGATGCAGTAACAAAGTCAATGAGAATATAATTGTAACAAAGACAACAAAATGGTTTAAACTTCATAAAGTCTCAGTAAACACAAGTATGCCCCAGGTACAAAAAAATACATTTGATATAAAAAATATAATTGGTCCTTAGCGACCTAAATCCACACATGATGTGACCAGTGTGAACCAGAACATGATAATGAGAAAACAATGCAGTCTGATTCAGACTTTAGAGTTACACGCCACAAGGTGCAGTTTGATCAGAAACAGAACTCACCTCATGATTATTTCAAGATCAGACTTTCCTTCATTACATTTCCCCCATGGGATTCAGAATCACTGTACTTTATGATTGGTGAATTAACAAATCTATTCTAGTTCCATTCTAAAAATAGTGACCGGATTGAACCCTGAAACAGAGTAGACTCTTCTGGCACAACAACAGAACAGTCTTTTGCCACTGGACAAGACATCCAAGAAGGAAGTGGACATCTGAACTGGAGAACGTCACGGGGCAGCCGAGAAAGTGAGCTCCGGCCACGTAACGTGGAGCAGCCATTTCATCAGTCCCTGTGACTTTATAAAGAAGGCCTTGAAAGAGCGAGCAGGCGACCGTCACTGGGCACGACATGTCTCAGGACATTTTGCCGATCTGGATTTTCTTCCAGGCTTCTGACGCCGTGAATATACAAGAGTCGATTATCCCCGCTACGGTGAACGTCCCTCCCACGATGGCACATATCTGCAATGAAGAGAAAGAAGAACATGGAAGTCTGTTTCAACCATAGACTGTTCATAGATGGACAATGCTAACACGCTAGCTCAGCAAAGCCCAATAGGGAAGTGCTCATACAGTAGTTTAAAAGGAAAGGAAGTTTTGCTCCATAATGCTCTTGCTCCTATAGACATACATTGAACAGTCAACTCCTCCCGCTCAGTTTTTGTCCCACTCACCATTTTGGCTTAAAAAAAAAATCCCTTGTTTTTAGCGCTCTCTGTGATCCTGGTATTTACATTTTGATATTGTCTTTGTAAATGCAGATATGAGCCATAAGGATTGACCGATAACTCCAGCTTGACTTAACCATATTAGCAACATGTCTGCCCTGTTACTACGCAAAGCTAAACCGATTGCCACTTATGGAAATTGTCCCCAGCTAGCTTATGTTCAAAACGGCTATTTCCGCATTCGGTCAGTCCACTCCTGATATTTCATTTAAATTCAACGTACTCTTGTATAGCCCTAAATGCCAAAAGTAGTCATCTTGGACGACTTAACAAAACCGTTGAAATTTGCCAACACAGATTAGAGAATCAAACAGTTCAAACTGCAAAGATAAAAAATAAATATAAATTATATGGTCTATGGTTTTAACGCACAGGTTAATAATAGACTCACAGTGGATTACAACATGCTCCAGTTTGAGGCAGAATCACTGAAAGATTGACTCATTGTTGGGTTGTGACTCACATGAGCTGTAAAAGACTCATCTTTGGTCCCAGCTCAAGTCACACTGATCTTAAACAAGGATGATCTAAAACAAGGCTTAAGACAAACAATGGAAGCGCTCATCAAACATTTAACCCGTGACGCAGCTATTTGTCAGAGGGAAGTCTTTCATTAGTTCATTCATGTTATCGTTTAGGAGGCCATGACAAAGACATCTATTTAAAGACTTAGCACATGTGGCTGCTGGGCATTTCTATGTGATCCAAGGCACACACTGAACTGATGAGCGATAAACTTAAAGTGTAAAGAAAAACACTTTCATACTTTCACACAACACTTATTTTTTATTCAGGTCCTGACAAAAATGAGTTAGACGCCTCTGATCTAAATTCACGCAAATAAAGATTATGATTTGTGATGGACGACGAGTATTTGGGGCTGACCAACTGGAGCGACTTGGATATATTATTGCATGTATTTGAGAAAAAGACCTGCTTTTTAATGTAAAAACTATTGCCACCAGGACTCATTCCCATATTCAACTTATGGGAATGTAAATGATGAATCTGGTAGCTTAGTAATCACTGATTTTTCATCTTTTAGAATTGACTGCAATAAAATGTGTGAATTTTGATTGAAGAACTTACTGTTGTTATGAATCGGTAGAAGGGTTGTCTCCGCTCTGTGTACTTGACGGTGATTGGACTCAGATCGTATCTAAACCAGATGGCCGGGATGATCCTGCCAGTGTGACTGTAGGCTACGTACTCCTGTGGAGTTTAAGAACAAGTTAAAGAGTCTATATTGGGTAAAAGGTAAATATCTTCTAACCATTCTTTATACAACTAAAAGATTTCCCCACTGTGGGACGGATAAAGGATATCTTAATCTCAATCTCAAATCGTATGAGTAGGAACAAAGCACATCAACTTTGAAAGCTTGAAGTGGCTCCAAAATGATTCTGAACATAGTGTTGACGGTCAGTAAATACTATTGGCTATTTTTTATGTAAATACTTATTTGAATCTGAATCTGATTTTTCCAGAAAACAACCATATTATCTTTTTCTCACACATTGGGAGAAAGATAGTTTGGGTACTTCTGGTTCAGACCAAATCACTCATATCAAGTCAATATGTAGCCCGGGTCATTAACAGAACATGGACACAGTGGATTCTGGGTGAAACTGGACCCAAGGTCAGCTTGGGCAGGGCCTCCCTCTGGCCAACACATTACACTGTATTTTGTCCAAACTCAATGTCCGGTGTGGATCATCAGTTCAAAGAAAAGTCTTTATGGTCCATTTACATCCAGTTTCCAGTCAATGCGGGCGAGCCATTACTTCAGGGTGACTGCACTGGTTCATAACAACACACGGCCTCTGTGGACACGTGCGGACACACGACATACCGAATCAAACATTTTACCTTGTTGGCAACGGTGTACTGATAAGAGAACCTCTTTTTCCCCGACAGATCTTCATAAACGGTTGGAACTATCTTGAGGATGTAGTCGTGGGAGGCCAGGGCTGTCATGGAATACATAAAACAGTTGTTAAGAAATGCACTTTTTCTTAATGCGGCGCACCCGGGCCCGTATTTAAGGTTGCGCAATCGGCTGTTTCCACTGACCACTGGCCGATAGGTGTCCTGTATCATGCATCGTGTCAACACGCAGTAAATGTCAGCAGCTTTAGTGGGCACAGGTGCGGCGTGCACTTACGGTTTGATGAAAGCCTGTCAGCGCCTCCCAATGCATTAAACGCTCCCCGCACCTTTTGTACCTGAGGACAAAGACAAGGAAATTAGATTAAAAAGAAACATGATGCATCATTTTCAGCCATTGAAAATGACAATGAGTCCATTTACTTTGTTACTTTATGTTTTCAGAATGTGAGATAATAACCCAAGTAGAAAATATATGGTAAAACAAGTATGAAGGGTACAAATACTGTTCTGCCACCAGAGGGAGAGTGAGACCGATGAGAAATCAACAAACAAAATTAACAATAATTATGCAAAAATGGCTCTGAGGGCGATATTGTAGCGGTACAAAGACGTCACACGATTACTGCCCTTGACACAGGTTTTTAGACGTTGAGGCGGAGTTACATTCTTGTGCCAATAGCTACTCATATTGGTGTAAAGGGATCCAAAACAACTCCAGAACAGTTTTTGACAGGGGAACAATATTCTAACATGGTAAGTTTGGCATAATACGTCTCACTTAAATACAGAAGAGACAATTCAAAAAGGTAACAAATATCACCCTATTAGAACTTGAATGGTATTTTGCGATGTCCCACCTGGAGTTTTTCCCCAAAGGCCAGTTTGTGAATGGCGTGGGTCATGTCTGGACTTTGTGGCTGAGCTGTGGCTCCGTGCGTCGACACGTGGAAGTTTCCAGGCACCTGCAACAACACACATTAACCAATATAAATGAACTTGTTAACCAGCGCAAACTTAAGAACACAGGGCGATGGAAACTATTGTTTGGAAAGTATACACTCATTCACCCTATTTTGCATCTAACACTGTCTCCAGTTAATCATTGTAAAACTTCTGGAAGAACTGACGCAGGCGTCTGCGATGACGTTGCTGAACTGAGCTTGAAAAAGACTCGAGGAAGAAGCAGGTTCCTCCTTTCACATGCCGTTTATTTTTGGTAGCAACATTCAATGCATTGAAGTCTAACTATTTGTCAACATGGGGCCGTGGCAAGGGCTCTGGTGTTGCTATCTGCTCTGCCCTGGGTACTCTTGCACAGTTATTCCAATGTGGTTTTACTGCAAATGCCCAATAAACAATCTGAATCTGATTTGAAGTCTGCTTACTTTGTTGATGCTAAAAACCCCTTCGAAGCGACAGCCGGAGCCCTGGTGGAGTGGGACCTTCATGGAGTTGTCAATGTGGCCGACCTCGTGGCGTCCCATCTCGTCCTGGATGTCCAAGCCCACCACTGCAAACACATACGGGACGGAAAATTATTGTTTTCACAGTTGCATACAGTGGGGCTAAAAAGTATTAAGTTAGCCACCAATAGTGCTGATTGCCAAGAACGCGATCCAAGGTAGTAGTTGAAGTTAGTATTAGCGCCACCAGCTGGACCGAGCGTTGTACTACACCGCTTTTGGGCTAGCACGGTTGAAAAAATAGCCTAGTTCTTTTGTGAAAACCTATGTGGCCGTGCCCTATGTGTTTTAGAATGCAAATGTGGTATTCTATCAGAGTTAAACACAAACAAAGTTGAAGTGAAGCCAGACAACATACTAATAGATGAACAAGCCGTTTTGTGAACGGGTGGTGTGTTATTTTGTTTCATAAACTGTGTGTTGTTCAGGTTTTGAAATACACATTTTGATCCATCTAAGAACAGGTGAAATGAGAGATTAGGGTTCCCTTTGCCGTCGTCACATGTTTGATACAGTTCACGTTGCTAAAGGCTCATGTCGCCTGTTGCCTTTGACATTCAAAACGAGCTGAGCCTGATATAAAAATATGCTGTCTAAACATAAGCACGTGTGAGAGCTTACTCCTTCTCCTTATAAAGACACTCTGCAGTGGATTTAGGAGAAGCAATGCAAAAGGAATATTGAGCAGGGAAAAATGTACACATTACGAGTGCTTCTGCTTTTCCATTTGTCATAAATCTTAGCTCAGCACTTTAAAATGTCCAAAGAGAGTTGCCTACCACAAGCACAGTGAGAGTTTCAAGGCAATAAGGTCAGCTTTCCATCACAAGACTTTAAATATGTCTACATTATGGAAATAATTATTATGCGCCTCTATAAATGTGTGTATATGTATATGTATGAAGTGGACTTAAAGCTGGAGTTCCTAAGTTTAAAACCACACAAACATTTAATGGCGTATTTAAATCAATCTAAATGGTTCTTTCCTTTTAAAAACAGTTATATCACTATTTTTCACATTAATGTATTTTTGTTATTTTTGTGTCCGCTTTTAAAAGAGAGGAGCACCCGCACTCAGCCAATCAGTCCTCTGCCCAAAATGTCAAAGATACAATGTTAATAAAAATGATCTGAGCATGTATTTTTGTGGTTAATTTGTTCACAAAATATTACTGAAAGATTTATCAGTATTGAAAAATTACACTTTGGTACTTCAGCTTTACCTCAGATCCCAGGAGATCTCTTTGAAGTCATTTAAATAGTTAAAAAAAAAGAATAATAACTGGAATCTTTGCGCAAATAAAATGTAAACTGTATATACACAGGTGGAACTTGGAAAATGTTTACGCTTACCCAAAAATTAGAAGTAAAAATCAGAGGAACTTTCAGCTTGTCATGAAGGGAAGCACTCCTGACGTAATACTCGATCTGGGTTGGAATGACCTAAATAGGCTTGTCTGAGCTCGTGCTTGACTCCATATTTGAGAAAACTATTGAGCTAATCATCAAAGCATTGTGTAATCACGAGGAGTTTCACTTGGAGCAGGAATAGTGTTGCCACAGCTCAGGAGGTGCACACGGGCAGCAGCTATGCGCCCACAAGCCAAAGTCTCGCTCCAACAAAATCTGGACCTGATTTTCCACACAACCGTTTATTAGCGTTGCCATTTTTGGAAACCAGTACGTTTGAATCGACATGTGTGTTTTTGATGTCGTGGTTCACTGTATAATCTGTCACAGACATAGTTTCAAAGGGGAGTCAAAGGGAACCAACAGCGCTGGTATTGAAGAGGGAACAATAGTGAATAATAAAACTGTTCTGTCAACTTGACGTCAATCTATTTCCAACGATTAGATTAGAGAGTCTGTATTCGTCACAGAGGGGACATTACCCCGCTCCCATCTCTGTGTGGAGTGAGGGACAAAAAATGCTCAAAAAACAACAAAAATGCGCTTTGGGACTCTTAATTCAGTATTACAATGACTGTGGTTTATTGATTAAAATATGTACAGGAAGGATAAAAGCAAGAGATCAATATGTTTGAAGTTTGACGGGCCAATTTATTCCTAGAGAAAACCACCATTAAATTAAATTAAAATTCATTAAAGTTCAGCCATATTTTCATGAACACATCCAGACTTACAATGAGACTAGAAAACACAGAGGAAAATGGTCCGAGGCACTGACTTTACTTAAAAAGGGCTTTCCTTGATGAAGACTCGAGAGTGGTCGAAACGCATCACTATGTCCCGTCACTAATAAAGAATTTTTGAGTTTCTGTGAGTCAGAGTGCCTCGGACCGTTGTTGCCTTTTTGTTTTCTACTTTGTGTTCCCACTGATCTTCAAAGAGCACCTGACCGCTCACGTTTATCCTACAGTATATATATTTTTTGATCCCTGTATACACTACTCTTGCATTTTTTACAATGAGACATAAATTTTGAACATACAATTACTATAACTGTAGTCTTTTACCTTGGATGGGAGCGCTTCTATAACACCCAAAGTGATCATAAACGATTAGAAATGACTGATCTTGGTTTAACAGTACCACCCGTCTCGCATGCGCGTTGGAAATGCAGTTGTGCGTCGGGTAAATGGGACAAAGTGGTCTTTATGTTTCGTTCCAGACCAAACACAGACAGGGCCCCCGCTGCGTCGACACTGGTGTTATCTAGAATTGTGCCGCGTAAACAAACCTTTATGTGTCCCTGATAGTCTGGCCCTTTATCTCGCTTATTATTCCTCTCCTGGCAGCGTGTTGTGTCACTCTGGAGGCCGTGGCAACTTACCCGGGTTATGACATTGATAGTGTGCGATAACAACGTGGATTGTGCTGCCGCGGAGGCCGTAAACAAAAGCTGCAAACAGGAAGTGTGTTGGAAGCGGATCAGAAAGGGGCGCTCACGGTCACAGTGGAGGTTTGGCAGGCTGATGTTCAGGCTGACTTCGATCTTCCCACCGCTGTCCTTGTCCGGGTCGTCCACGTACAGTTCATTTACTCTGGAAGCAAGAGGGTCAGCGTTTAGAGGGTGACCCGTTGCTCTAGACACAGTTAAAGCTGGAATCCCTAACTTTTCTTTGCTTCAAAAATACATCATGTCTGTCCAGAGTGAGTCTTGTTTAAGTAACATTTAAAACAAGAGCGCAACCTGATAGTACTAAACCGTTTTTTTTGCGGTATTAAAGTGATGTACTTAGGCAACATAATTAATGGTTGTGATCTATGACATCATACTAGAAAGATGAAGCAAGCACGTCCCTAATGGCCCAAAACGCCTCTAAACATCAAATAAAATTATAATTATATATGTTTACTAAGTGTGTGGATCCTTAAATTGTCATAATGTCATATGTGTTTGTTGTAATTTATTCCTACGAGGATGACATCAGTTCTAAGACTCAGCTCTACTTCCTGCACATTTCAACATGTTTTCCCAAACGTGAGCTTTAATGGTGTAAAACTCTTTATGGTGTCAAACAGACGGTGTCATTGTCACACACACACTCACAATTCTAAAAATGACAAAATAGTCAAACCTGACACAGTGAAGATGATAACTATTATCTAAAAACATGTCATCATGATGGGTCTCTTTCTATCATGATCATCACATGTTTAATAAAGCCAATAGAGAATTCTGTAGAGAAAAGTGGTCCCTCAAAAATAAAAGTTGTCCATAATTTACCAGAATTATTAGGATATTTTTCATCTCCATAACCCAATCTTAAATATTTGTTAAATAAAAATGTCTATAAATAAATAAAATACCAGGACAAGGATATGTGAAATTAGTAACAAACTTATTGAAAGAAATTTCTGAACGAGAAGGTAAAGTTCAAGTTTGTTCCGGCATAAATGTTGGCTCCCAGTACTTTTCCTTCCTCCTTTCAATATAGCTTTTTATGGATCGAATGCGTGGCTTATATACTTTTATATGCCGTTATTTTTTTACTTTATTGTGCCCAAAGTGACCTGGATTATATATCAACAACTAATTGAGTTGACATCATTCTTTATTTTTTCATTTGATTTTGTCTTTTCTAACAGGGCTCATTTTTCTTCACCACATTGTAAAAAAAAAAAGAAAAAAAAAAAGAAGGCCTTGTCCTTTGCCGGATTAAAAAGGCACATTCGTATGTCATTCATTGGGTAATTTCCTTCCTGTCTTTCCCTCCCAAATTGTCCTCCCTTATTGCAGAGTGCCAGGGGGCTGACGCACTGCACAAAGCCGATTTCCTGTGAGAAAATTGTCTCTTTTCATTGGTTAGCGCGGTGGCTCCATTGTCACCTGGCGTACAATGTGGACTGGTACAATAATGATGTCCTTTGAGTGTATTTCGGGCGCCAACGCAAATGAACAGCGGTTTGATCATGTTGCTGACGCCTTACTTACATTTCGGTGGCAATGAACCCGGTCAGCTCGGAGAGAAACAGAAAGAGAATGAAGACGCAGCAGAGGATGGAAACTGTTGGCAGAGAAAAAGAAACAAACACATTTAGGTCGTTACCATCAAACGTACACAACTGTTATGAAAAATACGTTAACAAACAAAATGACCTAGTTTTGTCTGCCGTTGAATGAGAAAATAAAGCCACAGTTCTTGAATTATGACTAAATGACTTTGACCCATTGGCAAATGTTGTTTTAGCACTCAAATTAAAATAAAAACCACTCAATTCAAGGATTTATTACCTCATATTAGATCATTTTTTGCAGTGTAGAGAAATGGACACAGCACTTTGGGTTTAATTTGAGTTGCAGCAGGAGATGATGCAAATGTCTGCGTGCAGGAACGGCTGATCTAAGCATGAATGAAATCACACGCTCGTAAAGTTGAACCCTAAATAGCCGTTTGTGTTGTGCGCGCTCACAAAGAGGCTCCTACACTAATTACACATGAAATGCCTGCGCAACGGGCCGTCATTACAGCAGATCTGCCCGAGCGGTGAGATCATGTGAAGTTTATCCAAAAACACGGCTCATTTTGAGTAATCACAGCCAGTGAATATGACGAATGGAGGTCAACAGTCCACTCTGGTCCGGAACGTTCATGTTTTATTTATTTCCAGGACACTCTCCATTAGGGGTGTGCTAAGAAAAAACCCACAAATAAAGCATTCTGTAAAGTAAGCTCCAGATGTTTCTTAAACATCAAGAAAAAATAAAATGACCTGACTTTGATAACAGATACAATAAACATATAATATAAATGTTCAATATGGCAGAGCATTTTACTGTGCCATATTTGCTCGTTTTGAATCATACCCCAACCCTGTGTATTGGGCTGGGGTATACTAGTAGTATCTAGTATTTGGATACTACTGTATATATTATATATTTTTCATCTTTCATGCCTGTGAAGAACTTTGGGCGGCTGATGTTGTTGTAAATGTGTTATACAAATAAAGCCGACATTGACATATTGTATTGTGTTATGAGAGGTGTACTGTAGCAGGCTTTGAAAAATACCCATCTCTATTTCACAACCAACCCCACAAATGTTTCCCAAAATGTATCGTACAAATTCTTCTATTGATTATTGATTATAGTTTTCCTCTATAACTAGTAATGTTTCTGGGCTCCACCTTTTGTCACGTTTACACCAAATTTTTTGAAAAAAACTCTGGCACCTAAAAGGTTAATAACTTTTGACAGCGTCAGAAAGAGATCTGAAATAATTACATATGCTTGTGCAGCTCATTCGCCACACCGCTTCATACAATAAGTGTGAGTCAAGCTTTCAAAAGTAGGTCAAACTTAATCTTGAGAGCAAAATGGCCTGTTGGTGCATCTGCTTAACTTCACGTGTCAAACTAATGCTGAGCCAGGGCAAAGGGGGAAAGATCTGTGGAAAGGCGGTGCTCGGCAGGTGAGTGATGTTTACGTGGCAACTGTTGTCGAGTCATATGACCTTGCGGTGAGCAGGCATCATAGCAGAACCTGTGGTCGGTGCAGGATTTACATAAGCTCATGTTTAACTCACAAACAATGGGGTGTGTTGCTATGACACATGGGCCACTCATTCACATCCACCAAACAGTACTATTGTACAGGAAACAATAGTTTAATACACAGATTTAAACCACACACTGGAAACATGGGTGTATCACGCAAAACATTGGGCTAACAGACAGGAAGCTCTCAAAACAAAATGGCAAACTAATGTTGTATATAAAGATTCATTTGGAAGGAGTTCTCTTTCTTATCTTTCTATCAGTACAGAGCCACAGTACTTTTGTCTAGTCATTTCCTCAATCACTATTCAAGGCCAAACTCTGAATCTTCTAACTAAAGCACTAACTAAAATAATGTGCCTTTAGTCCTTGAGAATGTTTGAATTGACGACAGATCATTAAAAACATAAACTCTCTGAGAATGAAGTGGAATGGGGCCTTAACATAAACTAAACAAAAGCAGATGTGGGTCACGTATTTGACCTTTTGTAATAGAGGGTCTGGTCTGTAGGAATGAAGGTCTCCCGTCACATCAGTCAACCAACACTGGTGTTTATTTTAAACAGATTTATATCCAAGATCTACTGCAGGAGAAAAATGAGGCCCAAGTTAGGGGGGAGATTTCAACATTATCATTTATGAGCTGAAACTGACTTTTTATAGATATATCCAGTGTACACTATCGTTTCTAGATATTTATAACTGGGTGAACATTTGGATCCGACTTTTGGATGAACAAATGTAGGACTGTAATCAGTGATTAATTTAATAATACATTAGTTGGTCGAGGAAATCGATTAGTTATTTGATAGGCAGATGATTTTTTTATATATAAAATGTTACGTTGTTACACCTTGGGTTGTTTTGACCTCAAATATTTTGAAAGAATATCTAATTCTTTCGTCAATATTGAATTGTATGATTAATAAAACCTCTTCTCAGAATGTTTGAGTCTTTCTAAAAGTCAAAACACTATGAATCAATTACTAAATTAATAACAAATGTAGCTTTGGATCAACCAAAAATGATCAAAAGCGTGTTCGCCTCCAAACAAGAAGGTCCTGGTTCAACTCCTAACACTTGTGAGGCCTTTCTGTGCAGAGTTTGCATGTTCTTTCTATGTATGCAAGGTTTCCTCCGGGGGCTCCAGTTTCCCCTACCACTAAAAACAATAAATGGAAACTTGTAGTGGTAGATTGAAGCTTTTCATAAATATTCAGTCTTGTTCATATAAATTTCAGATTTTTTGCTGCTAAAATCTGGAACAATCTTCCTGAAGATGTGAGACAGGCCTCCTCTCTGACAATGTTTAAAACCAGGTTAAAAACAGTCCTGTTTAGCTGTGCATACAACTGAGGGATTTTATATTTTTATCTTCCTTTTTAATGTTCTGTGATTATTTATGATTTTAATGCTTTCTTATTTTGTTCAGCACTTTGAGTTGCCTTATGTATGAAGTGTGCTATACAAATAAACTTGCCTTGCCTAAATAGATGATAAAAATGCAGATGAATAATGTAGTTTAGGCCCCAGACAGAGCTGTCGAGGAGTGGAGACAGGAAGGGAGTGAGCTGTGCACCGGATGTGCCTCCTGACATACTTCCTACAGGATGGAAACTGCACTGTAGCATTTTAGCAAAATCCATTCCCACATCACCACCGCCAGGCAGGAAACTGTGTCATGCTGTTACATTACGGCTACAGACAGTGGATGCGTTTTCTCTTTGTAGTCTCCATTAACCAACAATCAAACGGCGCCAGAAATGCCTCACTGCACACTTTATATCGAGTGAATCAGCAAATAATCAATACTCTCAATGAAACAACGACTTTCGGATGACGAGTGGGAAAACATAGTATGACAGGAAAATTATTCACAAATCCCACTGATGAGCTGTTCAGGGCCTGCAGCAACACAACAAGGACCATTATCATTCCGATCATACTGGTTATTCCATTTCAGGTAGTAAAGAACACTGACAACACATGAGGCAGGCGGGCACATGCCTATTACGTTTCAAATATTCCTCGAATACTCCGCCTCTATGAAGGAATTTACTGGCATTTTCTTCATGATACTATAAGCTCAGAAGAATACCATACTTATGGTTGAGTTTACACTAGATTTTTCCGACTTATTGTGTCAGAAAAAAACTAAAAGAAGCCCAGCAGGGCAGCAAGGATAGGGCATTTACAATTCACAATAATTACATACAATACATTAAATTATTTGATGCAATTAATAATAATTGAGCAGTGGTGCAATTTAATGAAGATTGATTGTTATTCTTTTTGCAATGTGTGGATCTCTGACCATTACAAAATATCAAAGAATAAAGGTGTATATTAATGAACAGCAGATGTTGTAAGAACACAGACTTATAGCCTTGGACAAATTCCCATCCGTTGTTCCACAGTCGCACTCGCAAACACACACTTATTTACCCTGAACGTTGTATGTATGTTTTTAGTGGAGAGGAAAATCAGAGCACCTGGAGGAAACCTACACAGACACAGGGAGAGCTTTCAAACTCCACAGAAATGCCCTCTGCTAGGGCTGGGCGATATGGCAAAAAAGTAAAATCTTGATTTTATTTTCTGCTTTGGACAATTTCGATTTTAAATCAATTTTCATTAATGTCTGCCCCTAAAAACATATTTTGATCTTTCCGCTCAACAATCAAGTTTCAAAACTATTTTTAATTTGTTTCACTCAATACGTTTAAAAAAAGTCTTGTACAGACTGTGCTGATATTGTAAGTATAATTCATGTGCAGCTGGAACTCTCACAATATCCTTCATTCAATTTCACAATTTTCACATTATTCACAAATCAATTTTTTCAAAAGCCGATTAATTGCCTAAATTCGATTTATTGCCCAGCCCTACCCTGTGCCAACCGGGAATCAAAGCTTCTTGAACCTGATATTTATCAAACCCCCAAAATTAAGAATAGACTGTTATACAACAATTTGAAAACAAATTATATTTTTGGTTTGTTTCTTTCAAAATAAAATCTTGTTTTAGAGGATGCATAATTGCACTTCTGCTTTTTTGTTGTGTGGTTTGTACTGGATGTTTATTTGGCTTAGAGATAATGCACCCTACAAATATATTTGTAACTAAGAACCATAAGATATTTGCACAGGGGAATTAAAAATGTTTTGAAAGGAAGTACATTTTACAACAGAAAGTGATTAATTGCATTTTGCTCATCCTACTTTGTACATCATCAGGTGGACTGAGTCCATGTCTGGAGGATCTGGCCAGATTACTTCTGGAACAATGTTCTAAAAGTATTGTTATCATCAGGACATAAATGCGTGCGGCTACTCACTGAAGGCTCCTGTGTACGTGGGCTGGGTGAGATCTTTTGGCACTTTCCTGTAGATATCAAATCTGAAAAAGATGAAGTGGAAAAACACAGGATAGGTGAAAAAAGGAAAAGCACAAGTGCATAAACAATACGTGCTGTGAGAAGGAGCACGGCGTGTCCTCATCGGCCTGTGTAATATTACAGAAGTGTGCTGGAATGTTAGCTCTGGACCGGGGCCCAGAGCAGCGGACAGCAAGACTCGTACAAGAGAAGACCTCGATAAAGTGGGCTTTGTGGTTCTGACTGACCCCTAAAACACCCTCTGTACAAACCCCCAGCACAAACACAAGCCGCTCTGATAAAAACAAAACATTCCAAACTTATCTAATCAAATCTCAGGCCTTCTGCCAATTATAGTCCCGTAATCATCATTCCAATCGGTTGAGGCCTAAACTTGTTTTTTCTTCTATTTCTGCCAAGGTAATAGGATGACGTTGTTTATGCTTAAACAGAAACAGGTGCAGAGGTTGTTCAAGTAAAAAAGTTAACAAGTGTAATGCCATATTAAAGGGAAACACATGTACAAGCAAGCAAGGTACAGGATAAACTTAAGAGAAAATTAGAATATCGTTCAAAAGTCTATTTACTTCTGTACTTCAACTTACAATGTGAAACTAATTTGTGACTGTGACTCAGTAGCAAAGTGAGTATATGAAGCCGTTGTGTTTTAATGTAGCTAACTGGCTCGCAGCCTGTAAAAATCCCAGGTACCTTGCAAACTTATTCAAAAGAGAAGATTTTCAATGTATTCAGCACGAGAGACACACGGCCATACTGAGGAGAATTCTCAGCAAAGGAATAAACATCAGGGGGAGATTAATTGTGTTTATAAGGACATGTATATTATGCTACGCTGTGACGCCAGAACTGGATTATCCACTGTTTTTTTTTACTGTGGCGCGAACCAACTACGGAAGAAAGCAGGTGGACTGGCCAAAAAGTTAGTCATCTTTCACACATAATTATTCTTCCAGAGTTAATACCACTTTGTTTTGTAAAAATTAACTTTTTCCTTTTTAGGAGAGAAACTGATTTTACCCCAAGCAGTGAAAATAAACTCATCCCAGTAGTTCTCGCTGTGGACACAAAGAGAAAACAGGAGAGCGGCTTCCTGTCCTACCCAGACCCTTGCTGTTTGGTTTGTTTGTGTGGCTCCATATTTAAGCTCTTTTTATTGTGGATTGACAAAATCTTTACAACTTCCTGATGCTGAATCCCACTGCGGTGAGGTCATTCAGTGGCAGGTTGATCGGAAGTGCAGGGCGGGCAGTAGACAATAGACTGTCCTGAAAGGCTTTCCAAGACTTCAATACTTTATAAATATGTGTGGTCAGGATATTGATTTTATCTCCCCTGGGCTCAGATTGTCAGATAGTCAATAGAAGGACACACATGGCCCACATCAAAACAATTATGGCTGCTGACAAGGAAAACTAGGGAAACCTGTTTCCTAGAGCTGATATGGAAAACAAATATTATTCATAATATTGAAGAAATCTTACATAATGGTTACTATTCTTGGGTTTCATTAAACTGGCCAGGAGGGGGCAAATGAGCAGAGATTCAGATCAGATTCATTTATTCGCCATTTGCAGTGAAGCCACATGGGAAAAACTGAGGTGGGACAACTCAGTTTTGCGCCAATTGAAAACCATGTTAATGGTTCTTCTACTATATCTCCGTGTATATACCCGGCAGACTGCACCGCCTGGTACATCACGTCCTGTCCGTTTGTTATTCGCGCCAATGCCCTGACGTCATATGAAACCCAAGAATTGCAGCAATTAGGTAAACATACCAAAAAAAAGTGGAATTACCAATTTTTCAGCCTTTTTCCCCGATTTATGTCTAAAAAGAGCATTTACAATTCTTTGTCCAATATTGTTTTATTCATTTTTACTCTGAGGCATATCATTATTTAAATGAATAACAATAATGTATATGTGACTCTCCATGCAGTTAACATTGTTAACGTCATAACGTACATGATAAATGGCTGCAGCATATTGTAGTATTCTATATTGGATGAAATATGACGCAAATTAGTTGTTGTTAAGAATTAACATACAGCAATCTTTAAAAATCAGCCATAATCTGAAAACTCTGCAGACTCTTGCAAAACTTCAAAACTGGCTGATGTAATCGGCAAAGAGATAGATTGGCCTCTACTCAGTATTTCTCCACCTTCGTTTGCAGAGTTTTGGTTGGTGCTTATTTTTATCTATCGGTTGAAGTTTCATTATTGAAGCGATACGAGATCTGTCTAGTGGTCACATGACGTGCGTCGATGGACAGCTTTACGTCTACTGTTAATAGCCTCCAACCGGATGTGGGTCGTCTGGACGCCTCAAACCGGACATCAGATCTGGGGTATACAGATGACAGTTCAAAATAGAGCCGGGTAATGTCACTATTATAAACACAAACGCCAAAGCAGCTGCGATGCAACTTTCCACTAAGATCATTTTGACATTTGTAGTGGAGTTTTAGAAACATCTAGTACTCTGGAGATACATTACACATTACACAATACACATCAGGGGTATCACCTGGATTTACATCTACCCCTCCAAGACTGTTGAGAATCAAAATGTCAAATATCTTTACATTTTATGGACGATATATTTTTGTTGATGACATTGTTAGATAGTTGTTAGGGATTTAACAAACCAAAACTGTTATGGGCACTGAATATTGCCGAAAAAATAGCTGGGTTGGTTCTTGACTCTAATCTATCTTAGCATTATACTGACTAATGCAGTCCCGACTCCTGTCTCATAATATTTGAACTTTTATTCATGCAAAGTTGCTCTGCGGTTAGTAATAGCAGGAACACTATACAGATTAAACCCACTGATTAAACGGTTAATCATGAATTACCGAGAACAACATATTAGTCAATAGTAGATACTGTTGAAAATACGTAAAGCCATCAACATGAGTATTGATCGTGAAAAAGCTTAATCGATATCATGAATAAAACGTGTTTTGGTGGGAATACTCTGTACTTGTGTTGCCATCACTTTGCTATTGTTTGTTTTAAGTAGTCATTATATATTGAAGGAAAAACACAAGCTCATTTCCACACCTCATCAGTGCCCAAGGTTTGACCTCACTTTCAGCTCGAAGCACTCATGAATATTTACACCTTCTGAGGAAACGTGTGTGCCCAATTGACGTTGGTTGTTTATTCAAATATCTTCACTTCCCCTGTGCTCAAAGTGCATGAGAACAAGGCCCATTAGCATGCAAGCATCACAATCTAAACCAGAATTCACAAATGAGTCATTTCAAGTCCTGGGCAACTGCATTAAAGCTGGGCTCACGACATAAATGACGGAGGCTCCACATGCGCAGGTCTTCGTATTATTCATCAGCAGGACGTACGTGCACTTTCCGAAACTGCTGAGAGGAGGTGTTCATTCGAGTGTGGCAATGCGATAAAAACATTAAGTCCAGTCAGTGCTGGTGTGAGTGTTGGTGACTTAACGGTGCAATAAACACAATACCTCAGCGCCCGCACCACAACACCTACGTGAGCAAACGCATGACATAATCTGAGCGGCGTTCAGAGCCAAACACTAAAAGCAAAAGGGAACTGAACAAAAATACATCAAATACACAAATACAAATACATGTATGAGTAATACAAGTCAAGTCATTGCTCAAAACGAAACTGGTCTTATTGAGAGACAAGAGGCCGAGAGTGTCAGAAAACTTCACAATGCCGGTAACCAACGTCTTGATGTGAAGTTAAGATTTTATATTTTTAGCTTTCTTTTTAATGTTCTGTGATTATTTATGATTTTAATGCTTTCTTATTTTGTTCAGCACTTTGAATTGCCTTGTGTATGAATTGTGCTATATAAATAAACTCGCCTTGCCTTGCCTTAATATCACTCACATTTACCAGAATGGATCATCAGGAGTTGAAAATCACAGGTTGGCAAAGAGAAATATTTTTTTCGAGCTGGAAGGACACGTTTGCACTACAGTTCTCGACACCACAAGGCCAGTGAGATTGTGCATTGCTTTCTTTTGCAAAACATCTGATAAAACAAGCACATTTAAAGTGAATAAAGAGGGGAAAAACAAAGTAAATAGAACCGCTCAATTAGGAACATGTAGTTACATACAGGCTGAAGTTTTAACAGACCAAAGGTAAATATATATATAAAAAGAAATACCATCACAATTATTAAAAGATAGTCCTATAAGACAAACTAGTCCTATAAAAGAAAATCACTATTGTTCCTCGTACTCAGTCATTTAATTTAATTCTATCAAATCGCCTCTGTCACATCATGAGATCAACCTTTTCAGACAGAAATTGAAAAGGGTAGGACCACTTTCACCTCTGAAATCTCAGCCCAAAACGTCAAACAGGACTTGCTCTTACGTACGAGATAACACAATTCCTAGTAAGATGATGAGGCATGTTGTAATCTGATTCGTTTACCAAACTGTTCTACTTTCTGTTGAGACAAACATGTTTTTATTAAAAACAAAAAGGAGGTAGCCCGGCTTTAACACTTTCATCTGTACCCACTGCAGTTTGTATCCCTTTGTCTTGAAACTTCAGAGGTATTGGAAGAATTAATTATTCCTATTCAACCCTAATCAGCCTCCAAATATCTAATGATAACGTAGATTCAACATGCAAATAGAATATTAATGAATACATATCCTTTAAATGAACTGGGAGGCAGGGAGTCTCTTTAGAAGGTGTGACTGCCAGGTGTTGTGCAGTTTCAATGGAGTATGAGTCATTGTGTGTGTATTGAACCCTTTGACACTGGTGCACATGTTGTCCAGGCTTTTGTGTATTAGCAAGAGGGTTTGTTTTGAGAAACCTAAAGAGCCTCATTACATCATTGAATGCAAACGGATACAGCACACCTTCTCTCTGGACAAGAAAAAGGGCAAACAATTCACATTATAGAGAGACAAGCATGTACACGTATGCAAGCATCACTGCTCTTCTGGCGTTATGAAACATGCAGCTAATAGTGGTGAAAGAACCACAGCTACACGTTGCCTCCATGGACTGTGCATTGCCTCACACACAACATGCAGCTAGCCTCCAAACATGCTGCTAGCGACGGGAAGCGCAGACTCACCTCCTCACATCGAACGGCATGGTGTTTTCAAGCGTGACTTTAACGGGATAATAGAATTAACAAAAGAAAAAAACATGGGAAGTTTCTCCGCTGCTACCGGGAGAGCATCGGTACCGGGCTGACGTCAGCGTAGGACTCTGCAAAGTGTGAGCGTGTGATTGGCTGATGGGGATAGCGCTTCCGGGGTCTCGTGGTTGTACTTCCGTTCGCGACAAAATATACATTATTTTATTGTATATCTTTTTTATTATGTGTGATTTTTTTAATAAGATTTAAATGAATAGCTTACACCAACAAATATATTAATTCATCCAAGAAATGTGTGTTCGACTGGCCTCCTGCAGGTGTCCAGAGTCAGGACGAAACATGGGGAGGCTGGATACGGAATGACCTTCCTGAGGTTGTGACACAGGCCACTACCCTGACCATGTTCAAAACTAGGCTGAAAACATATCTCTTTAGCTGTGCATACAACTGATTCTATTTCGTATTACTTATCACTTTTATTGGCAGTTTTCTTTTTTTTTTAAACCCACCTTTTAATGTATTTTAAACCCAATACTTTTAAGCTGCTTAATCTTAATATTTAATATTTAAATAATTGTATACTTTTGAATGCATTTTTTTCTGTGTTTTTTATTTTTCTTGTGAAGCACTTTGAATTGCCTTGTACACGAATTGTGCTATACAAATAAATGATTGATTGATTGATTGTACAAAGTTACAAAGGGAAGCAGAACCTTGCACTAAATTGTTGTATATGCACAAGTAAAATAGAACATATATCATGTAGTAGCCTTAATAGGACAGGATTCAGAGCTAAAGCAGGGGCCGGTGAGTGATTGACTGTTGTGGAGAAGAGGGAGCAGAGTTGAAAGGTAATGCTTTCAATCAACCGGTCAGTCTACATTCCCAGCCTAATATTTTGTTGAACAGTTTCCATCACAGAGTGGCTGGGCGCTCCCGAAGAGATAGTGGCTTGCTCGGTGTAGAGCTGCTGCTCCTCCATGTTGGCAGTACCTGGTTCAGGTGGCCTTATTTGTTTGTTCCGGGTGTATGAGACCACAGGAAAGACCCAGGACGTGAGAAGGTTGTCTGTCAGCTGGCCTGGGAACACCTCATGAGCTGGAGGAAATGTGCATTGGGGAGTTTGGGAATCTCTGCTCGGACAGCTCCTATTGCAGCCTTCAAATATTGGGCACAATTTGAATTAGAAACACACACTGAGACAGCGACAACAATGTCCATGATGCAAGGCGTAGACTATGGAATAGACTTAAGTATGGAACAGACATAATGCTTCATAAAACTCATACACCTATATAGTAATCAGAAAAAACAATGGTCAGACCTGTAACTGAATATTTAACCCTATTACATTTACATTCTATCCTCATGTCAAATATTAAAAGCCTGGTCCTGTCAGATCTCAGGATGTAAGTGATGTGTGGCCTAGTGTGTCCTCGGGCAAGACACTTCACCCACATAGCCTGCATGAGTCTGTTGTGTGTGTGGAACTTGTTTTGGTAAGTACAGTCTATCAATCATTCCATTAATATTGTTACAGATTGATGTGTCCTGCACACATGTCTTTTCTCTTTACGTGTGTGTCCCACCACCTTACAAAGTAACCCCAACCCACCAACATTGTTTATGAAATGCAGTATAACCACAAGTATTCTGTACCACATGCATGTTAGACTGCTCCAGGGGTGTGAGCATCTTTCAGGTGGCCCATGGGTGGTGTAGGAGCCAAAATGTACAGCACTCATTTTAAGTTTATAAATATAAGATAGTTGTAGAAGTGTAGTGTAGAAAGCAATAAGAAGTGTCTTTAAGTCAGTGAGTTTATTATTCATGTTTTCTCACAATATTATATTATTATACAGTTTTACGGTATAAACATTTCAAAACATTTCAGGAAGTTAATGTCAGGTGCATACATAAAGATCCCTGTGAGTCACTATTTGATGCTTTGGGCTGTGGATGTAGAATTTCATCTACTATAGCTGCCATGTGTAAAACACTTAATACTTCTGTTGCATAATTCATATTACATTTTTAGATTTGGAAGATTGTTTTAATTATTTTATTTTTCATGCTTCTCTCTTCCTCGTGGTGAAAAGCCAACATCAACCCAAACAACACAACAAAACTTTCCCAATGTTGTTCTGCATCGACACAGCATGTCAACGTGGGTGAACAAACATGGGTTTATAGAATTAAACGCCTTAGGTAGTTCAACGTAAACATATTCATTTTTATATTCTTTTCAGCACCTTTTCTCAATTCAGCAATTACAGTAACATCATTCTAACCCCCAAAAAACCAGGCTACATGACTGTTCATTTTAAAATGTATGGAAAAACTTACTTATTTAGAAAAATAAAATGCTTCTTTAGTGTTATATTTGTTTCAATAATTCTGTCCTTACAAATCAACACAAAACCTTATTTGGTTTTGTGTTGATTGGTTCATTGCCCTGGTGGTAGTACAGTAATGTATGCTTCATCTGGTGAGTACATTTTTGTTTGGAAATTCTGTACAAACCCTGTATTTTCAATGAGACTGCTTAACGCCCCATGTGGTGATAATGGCAGGAAATAATGTATGTCCAATGACAGTAAGCAACCGTGTGAAGGAACTGCAGGAAATGCCTCGCTGTCATCATCTTTCACTTCCTATTCTCACAGCAATCTTTCATGGTAATCGTCAATCAAACGCAATGATCAATACCGTATATTTACTAATGAAGTTTCACTAGGGGCGAGTAAATATCAGCCGAGAAAAGGCAAAATATCTGCCTTTTTAAAGTTCAAGTACAGCAGGAAAGCGCTTGCCTCTTTTTGTTTAAACTTCATCATTTGTCCAGTGTTTTTGAAAATATATCTCTTGACTTGATGGAGAACAAGACCAATCGCTCTACTGAATAACTTCCAGCCAGTGACTTTCATGGGACTGGTCACTTTTGTGTTGCAATAAAGAGATAAGAGAAAAAAGATAACGGTTTGCAATTTCTACCATTGTCTTGAAGCAAAATATTCTGGGGTCCTTTGAAAGAACACATATCAAAATAGCATCTAATATACAAAATGTTGTATACAAACAACATTTGTTGTGCTATACAAATAAACTTTCCTTGCCTTTCCATGGTCCCAAAAACATTTTAATGCTTTGGTTGTGTTTTATTGATAAAGTATAAAAAAACATGTGTCCTTGATGCGTTTTTTGAATCTCGACAATAACTTTGACCTCTTCTTGTCCATAGAAATAGTATTCTTTTGGCATTAGCAAAAATCCCCCACAGATTGACATTCAACTGATTTATCGGCAGAATGCTCCCAGGTTTTAAAAAATTTCATATTAAATAAACCATAGTTGGAATCCTCCAAAGATAAATCCATCTTATCTCAAACTGTGAATGATGATAGGCTTTTAATATAGTTTATAATATTTCAATACAAAAAGGTCTAGTTGTAGACACAGTGATCAACCTGACGAAAGTTGAAATATCTGTCTTAAATTGCTCAATAGACACGCATCATCTTAGTTGTTGTTTGAGTCAGATGCCCGTAAGCCGGCACCGTAGAGAACACAGTGTTTTGTACAGGCTGCTGATGCTCGCCCTCTTTGATGTGAAGCATGCCACATTCCAGCTTTGCAGCATTTGCTTCAAGTGTTGACTCATCTCACAGAGCGGAGAAGTTTTGCACTGTGTTGTGATTGGTGCAGTTTCTGTCCTCAAAGCTTTCCCCTCTCACAATAACCTGTCTCTGTCCACCCCACCTGAACAGAACTGGCCAGTGTGTGTTTCACTTCATACAAGGGGATTTGATCAACAGATACTGAAAGTGCACCGACCACTTTCTCCAATTAGTCACAAACAGTAGTATGGATTACAAAGGGGGAAAAGGGTCTATATCTTTAGGCAACCAGGTATTTCCACCTATAGTACATTGTATTTAGAGCTATACTTATTCAGATTTATGTATCTCACCAGGGTCAACACATTTGAGTGGTGTAAGGACAAAATACAGGAATTCTCAAAATGCAAGCAAAAAACTTATAGTTTTTGAAGGGGAGCTCATATAAACAGATAAGTACAGCAATACATCAATGCAAGCTCAGGGCACAATGATAATAATAATTTTTGATACAATCAACAGAACACATTCACAATATTTCATCTGTCTATTGTATGCTATTGTTCGCTAATAATTTATAAAACCGTTCTGAAATGTAGAAAGCAAATCATAGATTTCAGGATATTATACGTAACTTCTGAATGTGTTGAGCTATACCAGAAGCTGCCAAGCTGCGGTCTCTATTTTGTTGAAAATGCACATTTTATTATTTATTATTTATTATTATGCAAATACAATAATCAGAAAGGATAAATATGATGTTGTCCCATTTTGTAGTAACGCCTTTTATTACAGATACTAAATGAGTTACTTTATCTTATCCTCGGTGACAACAATTGTGAACAGCCAGATAATACAAGTGACATAATTGGGATGTCGTTTCTTGTGTGAATAGAAAACATTTCTGGCACATTATTGCAGTAACTGTTGTAGTCATAGTGATAACAGAGAGAAATGAAAGAGGAAGTGGAACATCGAACAGATCTGATAACCCTCTTTTGAGATGTGTTTTGTAAACACGTTTCACAACAAAGCAGCTCTGACAGGTTCAGGACGCACAACTCACACACACCATACCTCACAGAACAAATTACTGTACATATATAATACTACAGTTAAAGAAATTCAAATGTTTGCATTACAATATCATTGACTTTAAATGGAGCAGTCTGGTGCACTCGCTGCTATAATTATACATTATGTTAGTATTAGATAGCAATATGGCCTACGTGCAGGACTGTACAAGGACTCCATGTTATGACTATGATGTGACTGTCTCTTTGTGACACGTATGTCTTTCGATGTGTGACGTGACAATGACTATATAAACTGTGTACTGCCTTTATTCTGTCTGAGAGAAAGAAACAGAGTAAACC